TTTCTGGTCATATTTTCAGGTACATAATGAAAGCAAAATATTCACTAAGAAATTTGCTGTCAGGCCTCTGAGTGCAGATGATTTTTGTACCCAGAAAGCACCGAGCATCCAACAGCTCTTAAAAACTATTTTAAAATAACAAGTAGAGACCAGATTTGTGATGCATAATTTGGAGCCTTACGTATGCTTTCTTCCATAGCTGTCTTCACTTAGCATCAGTAGTTCTTATGTGATTATGCTGATCTTTCCGACGATCCTGCCATCCCTTTGTCAAAAGACTATGTGCTTTGAGCACTTTCCTAGTGGTGGTAATAAGATTGCAAGTTCACTGACTTGGTTCTTTTGCCTCGTGGTCTTTTTGAATAGCTTGGTTCAGTTTGAGAAGAGACAGGGACGGAGGCACTTTCGTGAAGGGACATTTTCTGCTAGGTAGCACTCATGAACCCTCATAAAAGTCAAACCCAGAAATTTATCATCTGACGTAAGTTCTTTGGCCTAAAGTACTGGCATTTCTAATAGTATTTGCCTTACTCACTTGAAGATCAGATTTCAGGATTTTTCAGGCTCTAAACTGTGGTCCCTGCTAATGAAAATGGCTATTATTTTGTATTGAGGTAACATGGGTTTACAACACTTTATGTGACTTAGGGGACTGGGTTCACACCTCTTCAGATGTATGTTGCCCCACCACACCCAACACCAAATTACCCATAATCCTCCACCCTATCCCCTAGACTTCCCACTCCTCACCTACCCTTCTGGGAGCCTCACTTCTGCAGTCCTATTTCTAGGGCTTGTTTTCATTTGTCTGTTACTTCATATTCCACATGAGTGAAATCATCCAACATCTGTCTTTTTCTTTTAACTTCACTTAGCACAATTCCCTGCAGCTCATCTATACTGTTGCAAATGGCAAGATTTCATCTTTTTGTATATCTGAGTGGCATTCTGTTGTGTATATATACCTATCTACTCTTCTGTTGTTGGGGACTTAAGTTGTTCCCATAGCTTGAATACTGTAAATGATGCTGTAGTGAACATAGGAGTGCATCTATCCCTTTGAACTAGTTATTTGCATTCTTCCAGTAGGTACCTAGGAGTGGAATTGCTAGATCCTATGGACAATCTGTTTTTAATATTTTGGGAATCCTCCATATTGTTTTTCATAGGAGCTTCAGTATTTTAAATTCTTCCTAATGGTGTAAGAAGGTTTTCTTTTTCTCCATACCCTTGTCAACATTTGTTTCTAGTCTTTTTGATATGGGCCATTCTCATAGGTGCGCGGTGGTATACCATTGTGGTTTTGATTTGCATTTCCCGGAAAAGTAATGATGAGTAGAAAATGGCTACTTTTGATCCTGACCTGTTTTCCTAGAGGAGTATGCAGACTTTAAAGTGGGATATGTGGAGGAAGTGGAGGAGTATTGAGAGACAGGTCTTAAAGAAGAAGGTAGGTGCTGAGGCAAAATAATTGATCACATTGCCTCCCCCTACAGTATGAGCATTCTGCAGAATATTTTATAGAATATGTTATTGATATAGACCCATGGACTCTGTAGACTCAAAGACATTGGAAAGATATAGCAAAGATATCCCAACCTCTTATTTCCTATTGCCCATGAATTTTTAAAAAAGTTCTTAAAAATTAAAGACTTTAGAAGTTAAACTTTTTTGAATGGGGTTGGGGGGTGTATATTACCAGACGTGAGTGCTCAAAATTAGAACTAGAAGTTAAAGAAACCCTAATCCTTTGCTTCACACCATCATCTCTGACACGCTCAACTTTTGCGCTTTGTTTGCAATCTCCTCAGGAACAAGGGCTCATCCAAGGGAGGCCTGCAGACCTGGTCTTTAGAGACCTTTGCTTATATATGAACGAGAAAACATTCTTTGCTATTAAATTTACCTTTCTGTGAAATGTCTCCTGGCAACTTTGGCTTTTCCCTGCTCTCCATTTTATATGGAAGAAATCCTATGCCACAGGGCCTGAGGCTTGGTTAATATTTAATATAACTTTTGATGACCTTGGTTTTGATTTGCCTGTTTTTCTGATGTGGTTGACTTTGCTAAGCCTGACTACAGAGGTGATTTTACTGCTTGGACTTTTGAGACCCCAAGGAGTATAACTACATACTTCATATTAGACAAAAATTTTGTGACCTTGACCAAATATTTAGTTCCTTAATTTATTTCTTGTTTGGTTTTCTAACTCTGAATACTACCTCTTAATCATTTTAAGTAGACTTAAATTTTCTAATTAGGGAAAAGCCCTAAAAGCCAAATTAAGAAATTATATAATATTCTAGAAAATTTGGAGTAGTGCACATTTATAATACTTTTAAGGAATTGTCCAATCTGAAAGTATATTTTCTCTCTTACAGTTTTTAGTGCTACTCTAGTGATAATAAGAACATTGGGATTTAACAAGTAAGGTTAGGTTTGTTTAAATATTTTTAGAAGCAATTTACTCTGGAAAGAATGACAGGCATTGAAAACTTTTTTCATAAATGTTAATCTGAAAAGGAAATCATATTTAGAAAATGTCACACAAATGGGTGAACCTTTTAAGCAATATTTTAATTATCCTAAAGCAAGCTACGGCTATTGGAAATGGGTGGCATGTTTTTTAAAGGGCAAGATGATGATTAGGGCAGCATTTTCCAGAATTAGATGGATTAAGATGTTAAAAACTAGATGTAATTTAAAAAATCCATATTAGCATGGGAAAAAAATGAGATCCAAGAAGATTTGGAATAATTTTAGTAGATTATGGATCATGCTATATTTATCTTCTAGTGTAGTATATTTGAACAGGGATAGTCTTTAAAATCAAACTATTAAATAAAGCTTTAATTTGATATTGGACAAGCTATTCATCTTCTCTGGAGTTTTAAGAGTTTGGGGAAGGGACATTTATTTACTCTGAGCCAACTTTTTTCCACATTACTATAGGTATGTTGTAAAAAGTTAACTCTCTTGTCCTAATTCCTAACTGTGTTAAAGAATGCCTTTTAACGGAAGTTAAAGAATGAGACTAGAGAATAAAATGGAGAAATATATTTTCTAAGCCTGCTAGACAAAAGATCTTACTTCTGTGAAAGTGCTATTGCTAAGTATTGTGGAAATCCATAATTTTTTTGTGCGGTATCATTATAACTTTTGGAAGGTTACATCAAACTCCTAAAATCAGTATCACTTCTCTCAAGTCTCTTTGAAAACCCCAAACTCAGAAAATGAAGTGAATTGCTGCAGTAGGGAAATGCTGTGAGCTAGTAAAGCAGCAAAAAGTTGTGATTTCAGATTGTCCCCATTAATCTTGTCATTTCTCTTTAAACAGGTGGTTCCATCAAGGTCCTAATCCCTACAATGGAGCCCAGGACTGGCTTTACTCTGGCAACTATTGGGACAGAAACTACTTCAATTTGCCTGACATTTACTAAAATACAGACTAGTCAGGGCTTTAATCTATAAATAAGTCTTAAACTATGTTTTAAATTTTTTCTCCTTGGTTTCTTTTCATCTTTTCAAAAATGAAAAATCACTCATGAATAACTTGCATTTCAACCAACAAAAGTAGGACAAAAGGTGAATTTGGTGATGAAAGCCTTAGGAAAAAATGGATAATTTTACTATCCAAATATACTTGGGAATACTATTTTATATAGTAGTAAGAGAAACTGCCGATGAATATGCTTTTTATGGTTGCTATTGCCATATTTACTGAAGGTTTATACCTAAATGTAACATTAGCTTTATGAAATTAGTGATTCCGAATCAAGTTATTTTAAATATTTTTATGCTGTAATGCTTGAATGTTTTAGATGTAACTTTGAAATGTTTAGAATTCTATACAGTGTTTTATGTGCTAAAATGTAGAGAAGGCTACAATGATAAGACAGCTTCTGTTTATACTAATCCTCTCAACCTTACCACTTCCCACCTCCAAAAAGGAAAAATTGTGTCACTATTCAGAATAAGTATTCCTGATTTGAAAACTCTGAAGAATTAAACTGGAAAAGGTATTTTATTTGCTTATTTACCGCTCTGAGTTTACTTTACAATTTTGTATAATCAGTGTCATTAGAATTAAAAGGTAAATTGTACATTTGAATTGAAAATATGTATGAAATCTAGTGATTTACAAAAATGCCCTAGAAATAGATTTTAATCGCCATTGTTACATAATGAAATACCCTTTTAAATGCTTCAACTTTCAACAGCAAATACCACCAGAGAAATTAAGTTGCACTCATATATGTATTATAAGTATCAAACTATATCAAAGGAGGTCTTGTGCATTTCAAGTTAGCAAGGCTCCTTGTACTTTAAATATGTATGGAGACCTACTGTACAGTACTAGCATTGCCCCTTTAATCGGGGTATATTAATCTTATATTTATCCACCCAACCACAGACTGAGATATAGTGCCCCGAGGGTCCTTAAGTAGCTGCCAGTAAATTATTTTAATTGCTGTCTTAAAGTTAAGAAGTGTTTTAATTAATTAATCCAATGCTAAATAAAGGCTTTAGAATATTCCCAGAAAGTGTGGTTTCTTTTAAACTTTCAAACAGACTAATGTTGCCACTTGATACTACCCTAAATTACCAAGTGTCCTTACAAAGAAATTTGTGGGGTGCCACTGTCTCTAGGGCCAAAGAGCTAACCAGCTACTTAACCTGTGTTAAGTAGGCAGTTAGCACTTAGTAAGGTGCTTATTATTGTAGTGAGGTGCTACTCTGTTTAGTGTGAATGCCAAATAAATTATCAAGTGGGAACATCTGCCTCGAAAACTTGTGATTTGAAGACTGGCATGGGAACAGTTAATTTTTTAGTTTTACTATGTATAGAGAGTTGGAAAATGCTATTGCATGACAAGTCTGAAAAAACTTAAGGCCTTTTGTGTTTAATTGTATACCTCCTCAATTACAAAATAAGTAAAAATACAGGGTTTTATGCTTGCATGAAGTTTATTGATACTTTACGCCTGGTGGCCAACTCCACCTTGAACGTCGTCTCAAACAGAGTCATCTGGGGCATCTGTCGGAATAATACAAACAGTGAATTGTTTAAATAAAATCATGAAATCAACAGGTGAGAAGAATAGATCAGAAACAAGGCCTAGCCTCTTTTTCTGTTCTCATCAGTTACCTGTGCATTTGCACTAAAATATTTCATGCGGAAATAGCCATTTTGACAGTGCTACTAAAAGTCTACAGAGGGGGTGAACTGTACATAGCCCGAAGAGAGTTTGAGAACTGAATTGCTTCCCTTAAATATAGTAACTGTAGTAGTTAACTTTCTTTGAATGAAATGTAGCTTTAATCCATCAGTTCAGATTGAAATAATCACAAAAGTCTTAACTGAATCTGTTGGTGTAACACTGGCATTGTTAATTTTATCTTCCCTGCCTCCTCTGTTGACCTCCTGCTGACTTCTAATCCTTTTCTGTATGGCAAGCACTGGGATGTTATTCTTCTGACTTCCTATTGAACTTTAAGTTCAGCTATTTTTAGTATGCCGGGACTCTGAATCCATGTAGTTAAGTCCCCTTTCCGCCATCTGTGTTCCTTCTCTCCTGGCCGGCCTGTCTGGCTTACTTGCATGTCCCACATCACCCCCTGTGCTTTTTCCTGCCTGGGGTGCTGAGGACTCTTTTTGAGGATGAGCCTGTCTTATACTCTGGTATCACTTTATATCTGAGCCCGAATACCCTTTTCTCGTAAAGGAGGGTCTGCATCAGTACCTTTTTTCCTTCATGCTTTTCTTATTGTAACCTACTTTCTGGTCCGTCTTTCCCCCTCATCCACACTAAGGTGTGGGGTTTTGTTTTGCACACTGCTATACACTCGTGGGAGAAAGACTAGCACAGGACATGGCATTAAGTACTGGCTGAATGGAATATTTTTAAATGGAGTGAAACTGCCTGATATCTGTTAATGTGTTTTTAATCTGTTCACTCTTCTGTAAATATTCACTCTTAGGAGGGATCAAACTTATTAGACATATTAGATTATACTTCATGTATAATCTCTTATTACCTTGTTTACCATTTCTTCCCAGATCTCATATTTGTCTGTGCCCCTGCCTTATAAAGATTACATTCCCCATATGAAATTAAAAAAAAAAAATCCCCTTTTACCATTTTTCATAGGACCAGACACAGAACCAAGTATGCAAAAGTGCTTGAGTTCATGGACTGGTTGGCTCGTGTTCTAGACACCGTGTCCTTGGTGTGACTTATGGTACAGTGCACAGCATGTGCATTTAATAATTGGTGGTAAGGAAGTGGGAGACAATAGCCACATCAGATTGAGTATCCCCCCAACTTACTGCGGATCTTACAGTTTTTAAACATATCCAATCTCCAGGTCAACATCAAAATCCTGAAAACTCAGGTCTGTTAGTCCCACATATATGGTAGGAAAATTTACCTACCCTTTTTAACTTTCTGCTCTGCGAACATGGGCACTAGTTACGGTAATTTCTCCAGCAATACCGTAACTTCCAAAGGGAGTACGTTTGTCACCAGATCCTGAACCTTTTTTGGCTACATCTTCTACTGGGAAAGCAACAGAAAGAAAAACTGGACTTTGTGGTCTGGGGACATCTTGTCCACTTGGAGGACTAGCATTCTGGGGATTTGGGGTCTGTTTCTGGAATTTCTGATCTGCAGGAACAGCAATGGGTACTTGTACTGCAGCATATCTCTTCAAGGCATCTGCTTGGGAAACAACAGCATGTCCAGGAAGAGGTTTCCAATCCTGTGCTTCCTGAACATTTGAGCCTACTAAAATAAAAGGTGGGGCACTGGTCTTCTTGCTGTCATCCATCATCACATAAGTTGGAGAAGTAACTTTCGGTGGAGGCTGCAGAAACTGTGGATCCTTAGGATTAGATAAATAGAGGGTTGCCTGGGGAAAAGGCCCAGGTGCAGGTGGCGGTGATGGGCGACTTTGTTGATTCATATCAGTTAGACAATAAAGGGTCCACATGTTAGAATATGGTGGTGGTTGTCCTGCTTCGCTTGCTGCTATTGCTAAAAAAAAAAAAAAAAAATTTGCAGGCATTAAAGGTTTGGTCTCTGTATCAGGCGCTATGCACAGAAATGTCTTTGTAAACATCTTTTACATATAAACAAACAGCTGTAGTAATATGTGCGATAAAGCATGCTATAGAGAGGGCTATGTAAATTGTGTTTGGTAATGTGAAAGATTCTCTACAGTGGGAGGGTGAGGACACTGTTGTGACAGCAAGCGGCGGGGACACTCAAGTTGTGGCAGAAGCAGCATTCTCATTCTAAGTAGCTGTTTCTAGGTACTCAGACTTCAGACATGGCTTCTGTAGGGTCCTCAGAGAGAGAATGGACAATCAACACTTCCGGCTTTACCCTCCCAACAATCAGTTGAAGTGTGTGCCAGCCACTGAAAAAGCTTTAATGCATCTGCATAGTGATTTTCTTTATTAGAGAAGTCTGCACTGGGTGTCATCTTTTGATCACATAATCAAAAATAGCTATTTATAAGCCAAGTGGCCATTCATAAGCACCATTATCTCCCTATTACTTGCACCACATGCAAAACATTACATAATTTGAGATCCCCAGAAAGCAATCCTTTTAGGCAGGGCTTAAAATGATCGGTCCTAAGCAGCAGTAAAAGTCTAGTTGGTCTCACAGGATTCCTTTAAGGAAAAAGAAGGTCTAGGGGTGCCATCCATCTACCCACACCAAGAAACCTATAATGTCGAGTTTGATTTGCCTAATGAAGACAGTACTCTCCCGTAGAACTGAGTCCTGAAAGATGGGATGGTACAGAAAAGGTACAAGATGGAGGGGATGCACATCTTGGGCCATCTACAGACTTTCTCCCTCAGAAAATAACACTATGCACATGATTAAAATGCTGTGTTTTCAGTAGCTTCAGATAACTTTCAATTATTTTTCTTTAAAAGCTCATTAAAAAATCAGCCTAAGCCAGGTCTTTGGTTTTGTAGAGAGAGTTTGATAACACAGTCTCAGTTTTTGTTTTAACTTTCTGAAGCACTAAAAGGCTATTTGAGTACTTGAGAAGAGTGACTTAGTGTAGAAGTGCTGCTTCAGCCACAAACATAATGCCAGTCCCACAGGCTGTACTTCAGCACTGCCCTCGAGGCCTTTCAGCTGTGCAGAATCCCCATCACACTGCCAGACAGAATTTAATCTCTAAACACCTGCTTTGGCGACACTTCACCATTTTGGCTCTGGTAAGAGTCAAAGCTGAGAGAGTTCCTGTAAAAGGAATGAGGGAGGTTGGCTCATGCATGTCCCATCCATCTCTAAAAAGAGACGGACCCCTGTGCTTGACCAGACTAGGGCAGGAGAGGGGCAGACCAAATGCCATAATTAGATTGAGAGGGAGGTCAGATCTGTCTGCATCACAGGAAAGCACTGACAATACTCAGCAGCCGAGAAGGCAACTTGATTTGGGCACTGGGCAGGGCACCTGGTGGAGAGAAGCCAGTCATCAGAGCTGTGTCCATCATTCTTCAAGTGCCTGCCTGTCCTTTCTGCTGCTGCTACCGACCTGCTGCCCTGTGTGACAGAACTTCAACCTGCCCTGCCCTCTCCATCCAGCTATGAAGCTGCTCCCTCAGCTGCAGGAAGCGCCCTGGCAAGAAATCAGTGCTTGATCCAGCTCCCCAGACCTAGTTACAGAGCTCTCCTGACTCAGTGCGAAAGCAGAGTCAAACACACCACCATTTCTTTCATTTTTGTAATGCCACAGCCTATGTAAATGTGTTGCTGTAGTTTGATTTTACAATCACAAATGAGAAATTTCAAACCAACACCCTTCCAACTGGAATATTCAGATCACATACATATATTTTATAGCTGACAATAGGCTTTAATGTTTCACTGTACAGTATGTCTAACAATAACAAAATTGCTCAGTGACCAAACAGGTCAAGTTTGGGTGATGTCACTTTAAAATCACTCATCTCATAAGAGTAAAATCTTAAATACAACAACACCTTTAAATAGGTTTGGCATTTTCGAAACTTAAAGACTTGACCAACCTACATGCAGGGAGCCTACCTAGATGGTTACCCAAAACACAGATGTCAACTGAAATGTAATTTTTAATTTTTGTAAGCATTTAATTTTCTTACCTGGCTCCATCAAACCTTGTTCAGGTGCTTCTTCCTCATCTGGTTCGAATTCTGGATCAGAAAGACCTTCTGGAACAGGAGGGGTGGGGCCACTAGATGATCTTACAGATGCACCTGAGTATGCTGCTTCTGCAGCCTCCTCAGAGAGCACAGGACTGGCCTCCATCTCCTGGGGTGCAGAGAATTGCCATGACTCCTCCTGCCCAGTATAGTCAGGGCCTATGGCCATATCCATTTCAAGTTGCACAGATTTCTCAGAGCCTCCTGCATCCAGGAGTTGTGCAGGCTGACCTTGAGAGATGTCAGTGAGCATAACTCTTGCTATTTCCTCCTCCTGCACACTCTCCTGTGAAATTATTGTAGAACCTACAGATTTTTCAGATATGACTGAGGCTTTTTTGCCTGATACAGGTTTGGAGCTAATTGGTGATTGCCCATTTTCGTTAGGACCCGAAACATCAGCAGCAGAAGGGCTATCTATTTGTCCTGGTATCTGCTGGACATAAACAACTCCTTCAGTCACAGGCTCATCTTTATAGATAGATGATATATGAACAGTTGATGTAACCTCAACATCAGCCTGCAAAGAGACCTTAGGAGCGAGATCATAAGCAGGAGGTTCTTGTTCATCCTGCAAGGGGGACGAGAAAGCCGTTGATAGTTCACTGTCTTTAGGTTTAGAACCTACATCTACATAAACAGATGCTTGGCTCAGCACCTCCTCCGAAACAGTAGGCATACTTGTTGCCACATCCACCATTAAAATTTCAGACTGATTAGAATGAATAGATGAAACGTTACCTAACATCTGAGCAGCAAACTGAGCTGGGTCAGCTGGGACATAGGCAAACTCTGGTGAAACAGCTGCTGGAGGTGGTGATGAGGGTGGGGTGGACTCCTTAGGGGTGGAAGATTTTGAAGGACCACGAACTGCTTCAATTGTCTCCTCAGATGCTGAGAACTCAGAATGAACTGATGGGAACTGAGTGGTTTTGTTGCTAAATATTGGTCCAGTTATATTGTCCTCCTCTGTGTATGTGGATTTTTCCATTCGTGTAGGTTCCTGGGAAACTGTAGACGTTCCTTCTGATTCTTTCACATATTCTGATTTCTTCTCTTGTGTCGTTCCTTCTGCCCACCTCTCTACTGAAAGAGCCAGATGGGTTAATAAGCATATATTCCTCCAAAAAAGAATTTTTTTTAAAAAGCAGTAATAGGTTGAATACACATCTCGATAAACTCATCATAAGTTAAATATATCGAGAGTCAAAAAAACAGACTGGGAGCTGCAGCTCGCTGCTACCACCCAATGTAACCAGACAATACTATACTACAGGTTGTACTGAATGGATTGCTTTTGTTATAGAGCAACCCCGATATTAAACGGGTTCCTGGCTGTGGGTCCTCACCCGCGCGCTTTAAAGGGACTTATGAATACTCTACTACAGACACACGCAAAAGGGTTAATAAAAGGTTTATTTACAAGAGAAAAAGAAATAAGGAAAATGTACAACTCAGGGAGAAAATAGGGAAATAAAGTCTTTAATGCATCCTACCCGATCCGACGACCTGGAAACCCCAAAGTCACTCTCAGAGCTAGACGGACGCCGCGAGCTGGCCGAGGGCCCCAAAATGGAGAGAGCCCCCAAAGCCCACGTGTCTGCCTTTTGTATCCACCTGGCTGCTTAACCCCACCCTCAGGTCCCAGCCACCTTCCCTTTGGTGGTGATGGGATTTGGAGTTCCCAGTGTCTTTGGCTTTGACCTGGGGTGGGGGTGGAGTCCACAAAGCCTGTATGGAATTTGCTTTGGGGCAGCCTTTTCCCCCTAACACTGGGGTGGGGGTGGAGTCCACAAAGCCTGTATGGAATTAGCTTTGGGACTGCCTTTTCCCCCTAACACTTTCACACCATCTTAAAAGCCAAAAAATTTTAAGTCAAGCCATTGTAAGTCACGGACTGCCTGTTCTGCTTTATTTTCTAGCACCTTTGATTTAGTATGGGTAATAAAACTTTCCTGTCCTTAGGTTTATTCAAGACTCAGCTCATTTCCTTAGTAACTCTGAGTAGTGACATCTGACAATCAGATACCATCTTCAGCTGATCAGCACAGATCATAACTCGGCCTAGAAACAAGGAAGCTGAAAACCTCCATAGAGAAAACTCTTAATCCAAACACACAAAACTGAGGGAGCAGGTAGGGGAAGATTTCAATCTGTGCAATAGATTATCCAATCCAACTAGTGTTAGAACAACTTAGTAGTGAAACAAATCCTGTTATATTAATGAAGGCATTGCTCAATTTAAGAAAATTGGTATACAAAGTTTAATGAATTGGAAAACTAGGGGACTACAGGATATTTTTACATTAGGAAATGCCAGATAACCTAACAGTGGTAGCACCCGCCGAGAGAGGTATGATAATGCAGTGAAAGCAGAAAGAGATCTCTGGAACCGCAGTGTGAAATCAGTGACTCCTGGTTTGGAAAGTCAAGACAGCTAATGACGCACAGAAACTCTTAGTGCTGGGAAATTACTGTAGAGTCATGTACTGGACTCTGCATTCTGCTTGTCACCCTCACACCTGTCTAATCGCCTTAGTCGTTACCCATCACAAGTTTTCACATCCGTTTACTGAGGATTTTCTCTCAGGAAAACATTTCCCTAATATAATGAAATCTGCAGGAAAAGTAGAAATTGCTTTGCAAGAATGTGTTTGGTTCAAGTCAAAATTTTGGAGACGTGTTCACAGGCTCAGCTGTTTATCAGAGAATATTTCTCTATGGTATCTCTCTGTGCAATGGCTGATTTCTTGTAAATTCAAGTAAGATGCCAATACACTGGAGTTCTTGTGCTGTGTTTGAGACACTGTCCTGGGCAGTCACTGTTGAGGACATAAAGATTATTAGGACCTCATAAAGTTTATGTTCGATAGTGGGGGTGAACTAGATATATATGTTATAGGTAAAAAAGTACCTAATGGTGGTCCTAAAAAAGAGCTATAGAAGTTCAGGAGTAATGGGAGCCGCGCTACTCATGTCGTCTGACAAAAGTCCGGGCATGGGGCAGATTTCTGAAAAATCAGGAATCTCGTTAGCTGACTCCAAGATTCTCCTCATTTGTTTATGGCTAGTCTCTACCATTGCTAAAAATACGCATTTAAAAGTAAAACTGCAAATGCTTTTTGAGCAATTAATGAATAACTAATTTGATGGCAAATGACACTGCATGATACAAATATTACATTTTTTATAAAATTAGTCTTTCTCTGCCAAAAGGCAGTCAACATTTGGCCTTACATTAACAAGTCAAAAAACTTCTGGGAACAAAAGGCTGTAAACATCCCTTGGCCAAGTCTTTAATATGGAGATGTGGTCCTTTGAGGCAAGAGCTAATTGGAGAAGGAAATTCCATTACTTTAAAGATAGCAGTTGGGTGGCAGACGTGATCCATGCTCCAAGTGTAAGAACATTCCTGATGAGCCAGGAGGCGCCATAGCTAACTCCTGCTAAATTCTTCCTGTTTGTTTAGGGCTGATTCCTCTGGAGGTGACAATTGGTATGGTAGCTGTTAGAGTATGCATTCAAGAATAAGTCAACAGCAATTTTATGACTGGTAGAGCTAAAACAATATAAATAATAATTTCTAAATAAAAGCCTTCTGTTTTTTACTTTAATCAATTAGTTGTATGTTGGTCTAAACTTCATAGGTTAGTTAGAGATAATCTTTGTTTCCCTTCCCCCAGGTAACTTCCTGCCCTTTGTTTCCCTCAGCCCATAGTTAATCGTTCACCATGACAAACTTAGAAATGTTAATTGTAGACACATACACTTTTTGCCAGTAATACAATAACTGTTAAATTGTGTAAAGTAAATAACTATTTTGAAAACATTTGTTTAGCATCTGTGCCTTCTTTAAGACAAAAAATAATAAATGTTACACCTCTGCCGGAAGGCAAACAGACCCTTGGCGGCTCCTGAAAAGGGACATGTGATAATTGTTATCTTCCTACCTTGTGCTTGTGTACTCACAATTTGCTTAGTATAAATAAAGGACTGCTGAGACCCTCAGTAGGATGATGTCAGCACCCTGATCAAGTGTCTGCGTCTCCTCATTCCCTCTCCCCCTTCCCTTACTATTTTTCTCTACAATTGCGCCGACGCCTTCCCATCCTTCAGGAACCCCTGACACCCAGACTGCTGCGGCTGGCTCGCAACACAGGAGGAAAATACTCTATCTGAAAGGAATAAAGGAAGGTTTATTTAGAAAAGCCTGGCTTTATACTTAGGGTAGAGAAAGCTGGGCGGGAGGTGGGGGGAGGAATCACATAACAAATGAAGATAATCCACAAAATCATCATTTTCTTGCATCATCAGAGAGCTGAGGTCACAAGGTAATCAAGTAACCTGATTTTCAAAGAGGAACTAGCCCCTCATGGAGAGAAGAGTCACAAGAATTCTCCGTAGCAGCTCGGTAAGGGGAGGCCTCTGCCATCCTTGCTGGAAAGACATCAGTTAAAATCTAAACATTCTGGTAAAGGCCAAATGGGGCTAGGATGTCCATCTGACCTAGACTGAGAGTCCAAACACACAGGAATGTTGCTCCCTCACAAGCATTTTTCTGCGGGCCTCACATGAAAAAGGGAAGCGGGGTAGAAACTCAGAGTGAGACATCACGTAGCAACACCAGTCAGAGGTCTCCTACCACTGGGGATGAAGCAGGAACCACTGGCTCAGGACTGACCAGACACAAGGCAGAGTGCCTGACCAGCAGGAAATGTAGGATAGCTCCACCCCAAGACCCAGATGCACAGGGCCAACCTAGTCTTGAGGCAGGTCTAGAAGGGCAGAGACAGCCCTGACCCAAACACCAGCCTAACACTAAGTAGCCTTTAGGTGAGGGGGCAAGAGTGTAGAGAGAAATGTCCTTTGAGGCCAGGCTGGTGGGGAAGGTTCAAAACTAGAGGGAAACACCCTTGGCATCCTAGACCCACCTTAGCAGCCCACTGCTAGAAAAATTTGAGGCCTATAGAGCAGTGAAGGTAAAATTAGGCTTAACAAAAGCCAAACCCAACCCCTGACTAGATAAACCTACCCCACACACACCCCAGTTCAAGGCTTCTCTAACTATTTCCCCCAGATGATATGAAATCCCCCAACCAATGATTTATTTACCATGAGAGGTGTCAAGGGATTATTGCAATCCTGGGACCTATCTGATTCATTGCTTACATGACAGGATTTTGGCAGCTTTCTTATAAACCTTTTTAAAACTTAATGAAATGCTTGCTTTGGTACAAATTAATCCCCACCCTGCCTAGATAAATGCATAATACCCATCTCTGTTTAGGGAATCAGTATGGCTTACTTAAAAAAAAACCTCAGGAAAGTAGAGAATAATAGCACTAGTCCCTCATGAAATTTAGTATGCATAAGCCTGAAGTAGCTATATGCCCTGTATGTTTAATAAGAGTGGATAGCCACAAGTATGTTTAACCAACAATAAAAGACATAAAAATAGAATTTGGTGTGAGAAATAAAGGCAACATTTATTAAGAGTATATGAGTAAATAATTCAAGGTGAGATTTAAAGATACATGTAATAGGAAATGAAGCTCGACTCCAGGTTAGCAGGAGTTCCTGACAGTAATTACTTTTAGGTGGCCCAGCTAATGATGTCCAGGGTTAGTTAAAAAGTTTTGCAGTCATTCACTTGGGAATCGAGATGGGGTAGGCCTTCTTGACTCTTCAAAGAGGTGGCTGGTTCTTGCCACTGATGAAAGCCAAGATAGGGCTGATACTGGAAACTGGACTCAATTAGGCTTAGGAAGATGAAAAGTGACAGTGGTGTTGAGATCCCATTTGCCACTCTGCAGGAGAAAGCACTGCTCTCTTCACTGAGCAGTGAAGAGATGAGAATTAGCACAATCTGGGCTTCAGGTTCCACACGAGAAGGTGACAGGCAGGGAGAAGTAAAATAATGGGATATTATGGGAAAGACAGTTGTAATTCCTCTTTAACTCTGAGTTCAAGAATTTAAGGTTTCTCCAGAAAGATCCTATAGAATGTGACTTTAGCGTGGAAAGAGCATGAATCCTGCTACTAGGAGGAGCTAGGTATAGATCCTAGCCCTATCAATTAAAATTTGGAAGCCTTGGAGTTTTTAATCACTCCTAAGCATATTGTTCGAGTAAAATTGCAGTAACATCACCTATGATAAAATTATAAAGTTGTCATAACTGACAAAATATATTTTGAGTGCCTAGGACAACATATTACTCCATAAAGTCCATTCCCTCCTTTTTCTAGCATATACTAAGAGGTAGAAATTAAGATGTATCCTAACTCTTTGGCCTGAAAATATCATCTGAATTCATACTATCCCCTGAATTAATGATTCATTTGGATTAATGAATTCTTATGAGAAGATTGAGAAGTATGGCAACTTTCACTGATTCATGTGATAGTGAGATCTGATTAATAAATTTTAGGAAAAGAAAGGATTCAAGAAAGAGTTTCCATAGCATGATCTGCTTTGGAAATAGGTACATGTGGGTGAAATGCTTCCATAGCACATGTGGGTGAAAGGCCTCCATAGCACCAGGGAAATCTAGATCCTAGGATCTAGAAAGTTGGAGAAATGATGAGAGATAACAGAGAAGTGCGAAAAGTTTGATTTTTCTTCTTCTTCCCTCCTCACTACCTGACTGCATGAGATTTTAAAGGTACTGGGGATATTGATAAACACTACTGACCCTATGGTGAGACCTACAAAAACGGGACTTGTTTTAGAAAAAAAAAATCCCAGAATGTTCAAAACAAATGATATGTACAAGGATATACTTATTCCCTTGCTTTCCATGCATGTGGGCAGCTCAGTAGTAATGCCACTAGGCAGCAAACTAGCCATTTGGGAAATAACTTTAGAGTTACAGCATTCTTGTGAGCATTTTTATGAAACACATCTTTCACTTGATGTCCAGGAGATGAGTACTACCAATGGCAGCTAGCTCTTGCCCACATCACCAAGTTCTAATAACTGGTGCTATCTTTAGACTGAATCTAGCCTTACTAGAATAAGGAACAACTGACTTAGTCCCTAAGAATGGTTCATTTCCCCATATTTAAATTATTGAAAGCCTGAGTGAGCCTCAGTCCTTGGGTCCAACAGACAGAATATGTAGGTTATTGTAGATGCTACCATCTGTATTTAAAACTGGGATCTATGTAAGGGAAGTTCTACTTAGAGGAAAGAGAAGATACCACCTGTTATACCTATATTTTTATTGTAGAGAGCTGAACTATCTTGCAGCCAAATTTACCCAGCGCTCCCACAGGAACAGCAGCTGGGGAATTAAAGTATTCAGAAGGCAGGAGGATGTCACTCGGGGGAGGAAATGCCCTACCAAGTGGGAGCCTTATAGTGTGTGTATATCCCCAGATAGTCCCTCTTTAGCCCAGGGTGATGCTTTTCTGGATATAGGTAGACCCATGCAGACTTTGTAATAGGACCTAAGTTAATGGATACTGTTTGTCCATTAAGAAACCATTTAGGCGCCTCCCCTGGCTGCAAAGCTGCCCACAGCTTCTGCAGCGTCGGTTCGATCCCCGGCCACCAGTGAGGGTCCCACATGGCGTGCAGACCTCTTCTGCCGTGCCCACTGCTCCCCTCAGCAGTGTATTTTGTCAGTCTGCCAGTTCTGTTCCCTGCTCTGGCTCTGGTGAATTCTCTCACCCTCCCGCGCTTCTGACTGTATCCAGTGCTTGTATAAATAAATAAATCTTTAATTAAAAAAAAAACATTTAGGCATTTATGATAACAACAAAAGACAGAAAGACAAATGAATCAAGTTGATATTAGTGACACTAAACTCTATGTGTAGACACACCTTCATGCTATGTTCCCATCACCCTGGTAAACTAGAACAAGTAATGTTCCTTTCTATTCCATTCCTAAATAGCAATATATTTCTACAGTCAAACTGTGAGCTTACTTTTAGGATTATCTCCATGCTATGTCCATTTTCTTTCTTTTTTTTTTATTAAAGATTTATTTATTTACTCATGCAAGAGCTGGGCCAGCGATGCAGAGGGTGACAGGACTCACCAGAGGCAGAGTGGGGAACAGGCAGACTGACTGAAATACACTGCTGAGGGGAGCAGCAGGCGAGACAGGAGAGGTCTGCTGCACCATGTGGGTTTCTCCCCGGCCAGTCGGGGATGGAACTTGTGCTTCAGAGGCTGTGGATTGCTTCATAGTGCGGTGCTTAACCCCTTGCACCAACAGGAAGGCCCTTTGCCCATTTTCTTGATGCATATAGTTACTAGCGAAAAACAGCAGCAGTACTTCCTCCCCTTCAAAACTCCCCTTCAGACTGCTTCATTAGTTTGCTATGTGAATGTTGAACCCTAAGATTGAAAGACATTAACCTAGCTAGTTCCAAATCGACATTAGTTTAGTCACTTGCTAAATTGAGTGCTGTCTAAATTCTCCAGTAAACAATCTCAAAAGCTACCAGCTAGTTACCTTCTATCATAAAGATTCACTGCCTTTATCACCATTCTCAAACATAGAAAGCCTGCACACACACTCCCAGCCCTCTCAAACCGAGCCCCCAGAAGAGTGATGCAAGTACATACAAAGGCCCCTAACAACTCCAACTGCTGGGAAACCAGGCTCACAGGAGGGGCAAAGTTCCTGCCCTTGTCTGTATATTCTCCTGGTAGAAAGCAAATCCCAGACTTGTTTCCCACGATGAGCTGAGAATGCCATCAAGGCCCTGCAGGAAAGCAGCCAGACTACATAATAAAATATGCCTGAGCCAGGGCTGCTCACACTCCTGCCCCAGGAAATGCTGGCTCTTGCTAGTCCTTATGTGGCTTTCTGTTTGGGGTGGCTTTTTCACTGCAGATCCAACCCTCAAGATTTTTACATTTTCCTAGGTCCTACTCCTGATGTCTTCCTATCTGGGCTATGTTATTTATTAACATTGCCAGAGAGATAGTATGAAAGCTCACTGATCTTTCCTTTTCTTTCTCTGTGATCATTCCAAAACATTGGTGAATGCAACAAGAAATATTTCTTTTGCACATTGGCCACGAGTCTCTATTTTCTCCTCAAAATTCTGTCAAAAGCTTATTCTTACCATTTTTAGACATGTAACTGTGCTTGGGATCTGACCATTGTATCTTCTTTTACTTAACAGTGATCCTTCCAACTTTTCATCATGCAAATTTTCCTTTTCTCATTTCTCCCCTCTAACCTTTTTCATTGCTTCTCTATCAACTCAGTTTCACATAATGCAGGCATTTATGTGTAAAAGGTAACTTTTACATAAATGACAGCCTTGTGTCATAGAGATAGGCCATGAAAAAAATTCTCCATAATAGACAAAGTCTCCGGAACAAAATAGATGGTGACACCTAATTAATTCCCTGTCCTAAGACCTGGACAGCAGCTAAACAATCGCTGGGGATGGGGAGAGGAAGATGCTTAAACTTTTCTTCATAAAAACTCTTCCAAGAACACTGCTTATATAATTCTTGTAAGTAATGTACCTCAGTATAGCTTGATTCTTTATTTCTATGAAATTCAATTCTCTTAAGGTTCACTGTAGTTCTCTAAAGACAGAGCATATTGGAAAGGTTTGCACCAGTTTGCGCACACAGTTCTACCAAATGGTTTGCAAAACATGAATGTCCCTTTTTTTTCCTCCTTTTTTAAGACTTGGAATTCCTCAAAATATCAGTCTCTAGATTTTTAAAAAACTGATTAATAATGAGTAAAGCATAAATGTGATTTAAACATCAATGTGATTTTTTTTTTTTTTTTTTTTATAGAGGCATGCTTTATTTATTTGTTTGCTGGTTTGTTTGTTTGTTTTGTTTATACATGCACTGGGTACAGTCAGAAGCGCGGGAGGGTGAGAGAATTCACCAAAGCCAGAGCAGAGAGCAGAGCAGGCAGAAGGACCGAAGTACACTGCTGAGGGGAGCAGCGGGCGGCAGGAGAGGTCTGCGCGCCATGTGGGACCCTCCTCTGGTGGCCGGGGAGCAGCCGGGGATCGAACCGGCGCCGCAGAGGCCGCGTACAGCTTCGCAACCCAGCGCTCAACCGCTGCGCCACCGGGGAGGCCCTCAATGTGATTTTTAAAAAAATATTTGTAGGCATCATTCTTATGTTTGAATGTATTAGTAATGATATAATTTATAATTAGCATTCCTAAAAATCTAATACCACTTAGAGTACTTACTTTTAATCTGATGAAATTGTTTAACCAGATCTTTTATGTCCAGAGTATTATTCCCTGAAGAAGTAAATACAGGAAATCAGATACATAAAATTCCCAATTAAAATTCTTTTTAAAACAACAAATAAATAATCTAAAGGGATAACAAACCTTCTCTAAACACAATAAGTTCTTTAAAATAAACTGCTGCAAACTGGGTGATGTTTGGTGGATTGGTTTTGAGAACAGCTCTGCTAACTCCCTCCAGCAGAGTCTTGAGGCCATAAGGTACGACAAGTCTGGGCTTTGAAGAAATCATTTTTGCAGGATGTCTAATCTCAACTATAATGAGGAAAAAAACAGTCTTATAAATATTATGTTATCATTTATTATGTGTTAACTACAGTTTCTTGGGACAAATCTACTAGAATTTTTAGCTTTGATTCAAATCTCTAGGCATTTACTCTAGTAAAATGGGATAAATCTTTATCATAGTTTAAAAAGATGAGCAAGCTAGTCCTATTGTTATAGGACAGTCTCTTCTGCAGCTTTTCTTCTTCCTGCTCAGCTCCACCCTCCCTTGGGTGGGGCAGGGAACCTCCCCCTTTCCTGGGGACCACCCTGTTACAAAATTAAAGAAGTAGATCTATTCAAGAAAACGCGAAGAGGAGGCGGAGCAACATGGCGGCGAGGAGACGCTGCGAGTAAGATCTCCCATTAAAAAAAAGTTAATAGGGAGGAAAAGCGGCAGGTCCCAGTGAGAACTGGGACAGGGAAGATAAACAGGTGACGCCAGCAAACTGCCCGAAGAAGAAAGTGGCCATAAAAGAGGACTAGAAGGGAGGAAAGCGCAGAACCCTGCTCCCCTCCCCCACCCACAGAGTCGGCACTCTCCGACCCGCAGAGAGGAGGAAAAAACAAACTAAAACGACCAACAAGAACAAACTACGCATCAAGCGGGACTGGGAGTGGAAAGGAACTATCTCAGCCACCACACCCCGTGAATGGGAGCTGCGGAGAACCCTGCAGGATTCGCCGTGGCGGTGAGCGAATTAGAGAACAACAGAGACCCCCCGGAGACCTGCACACAGCCCCGGGCAGGCCGGTAAGCTTGCGCGGAAAAGCGGCGCGCTTGAAAAGTAACGCGGATCGCGGCTGCCCAGGTCCCCGCGCCTGTGACCTAGGCTTGCGGGGAGACGCGTGGGGACCCTCACTGAGGTGAAAGCCCCTCACAGAGTAATCAGGAACCAGGCACCCAGGCACGGGAGCTGGGTGCAAAAGACTCCATTTTTGCAGACACTGAACTGGGCTACAGCCTGAGTCCTGGACCTGAGGGCTTTGGAACTGAGACCCGGGGCACGAAATTCGGGGCGTGGGTTCTCCACGACGGTGGGGCACAAGGCATTCACAGCACCCCAAAGCCGTTGAGGTTTACCCTACCATTCCCGCTCTGTTCCCTGTCCCAAGGGGTGGAAAAATCAGCTCCCCAAGGGCTCTAGGAGAGATCTCTGGCGCCACCTAGCGACTTGAAAACGGCAGAAGGCTCCTGAAGGACCCAGTGTCCAGCTGGGAAGTTAGCCCACGCCAGGCCCCTTCTGGCCTGCAGTCCAAACCCAGAGGGGGAGCGGGAACCCACCGCCGGGGCAGACCAAGCGCACAGGGGAGTGTGTCCCCACATCGGCATTTTAGAACAGGGACCTTTCTTCAGTAAAGACTGCTTGAAACAGACAGATGGCCCCTGGAGGAGCTAAAGGGGAGCGGAGAAGCTCACCCAAGATGCCGGCCAGTCCCAGCAACACAGCGTCCCAATGCATACCACAAATTAGAAAACAGACAGTAAGGAGTAGAAGAACCACACGCAACCTAACAACTCCCCAGGAAAAAAGCACACCACAAAAAGAAAACCACCCCTCAGATTGCAACGACAGTAACTTGGAAGAACTTCTGAGCCTTCCAGAAAGAGAATTTAAAATTGCCGTGATTAAAAAACTGACAGAAGTCATAAAGGAAAACAATGATAAGGGAAAAATAATCAACGATCAGAAGAATGCAATTGAGTCCCTAGAGAGGGAAAACAATGGTCAGAAGAATGAAATTGACTCCCTAAAGAGGGAAGTAAAAGAAATGCAGGAGATCAAAGAATTAATGGAGAAACTAAAGAACTCTGGGAAAAGCAATGAAAGCAGACTAGATTAAATGGAAGAACGAATAAGTACCCTATTAAAGAAGTAGATGGGAAGAGCCCTACAAGGAATCTGAGATAATAGCAACTATAAAAAAAATGAAAAGCCAACCAAAAAACCCATTTATTTCTGTAAAATTCAGTCAATATTATATGCAGTGATATTTCTCTATTTTCAAACAGCATCCTTTCAAACTACGTGGCTTTATGCTCATTCATCAAAAGTTATTAAGCAGTGTTTCTACAGGAATCTTTTCTCTAATATTTCTAAATATATCATCATTTGACCATCTTTATACATTTTTTTTTAGTTTTAAATTTGCTGTTAACATTAAAGTAGGTGTTATTTGTTGTATTATGACACACACCACTGTATGCACTTCTTTCCACTTACCCTCCCCTAACTGCTGCCCTAATTTTTCCCTCTCCCCGGATTCTCTTGACTTTCCTGATTTTAAGTGTTACCAAGAGGATGGTATTATAGCCTGTGATTCTCAGAGCTACAGAGATTGCCATCTGAAATTGTTTCTTTGGTTTGTGTATGGAGAGAAGTGAGGGGGTGGTCTGTGTGAAGAAAGAGGTGGGTGTGTGTGAATGGAGAGAGAGAGGGTGTGTATGTGTGTGTGTGTAGAAAGAGATTTGAGAGGGCTTACAAATATCTACAAAGAACAAAATTAAATATTTAAGGAAATCAGTGGCAAGGGGAAAGGATGGGAGGAAAAACATGATGATGCTGCAATTAAGGTTAATATTTCAATACAAGCCACAGGTTCTTCACTTTGATAGAAATGAGGTATCAAATCAGCTCCTGAGCTACCAAGCAACCATCACAAAATAGGTAACAGTGGTTAAATGATTCAGTTTTCTGAGATAAAAAAACAAATGAGTTGCTTGGGAGAATCACAGCTATTCTGGACAAGGAGACCCAGGAGAAATTTCTCCTATGGGTCCTCATAAAGAGGAGGATAGTGTGATCTAATGAACCATATCCTCAACAACAATCCTACAGTAAATAGAGTAACGAGTTTCTTGGGGCTAAGTTGCAGAGTTTAGCTACAGCAATTATACCAAGGGACAATCTCTAATAAAAAGCAACGAATGTATCACAAAATGCTGAATATTTAAAAACACATTTCATCTTCCCAAAGGCCAGGAAAAATGAATCTGTGTTGACCAAAGCAGATCCTTTGAGAATATAATTAAGTCTATTGAATTCCTTAATGAAGACTTACTTTCAGTGTATCATCAACAGACACTTTACGATATTAAACCATCTTTAAAATAGTGCAGAGTTGACAGGGCAAAATGCTAAATGTAAAGGGACATAGGTAGTGATTATATGTATGATACACATAGGTTATCTACTTGCCTATATACCCAAACGTGTGTTTTCTACCCCCGTGAAATTATAAGTACAATATACCGATTATGTGTATGATACATACCTAGTAGAGTGGTGTGTGTGTGTGTGCGTTTTACTTATACATACATTATATACTTTGTATAACTTTTTTAAGTGCAACCTTTCAACCCCAGTGAGAATAGAAAGGTCGTTTTCAAAGTGGTTTACCAGTAGCTGTGATGGAGCAAAGGAAACACCATTTCTGCAGGCAGCAGATGGTGTTACCATGGGGATAGCTGCCCTGCAGTTATCCCCAAGTTCTAATCCTCAACCTGGGCAGTTGCAACCCAGCCCCCCCACCCCCACATTTCGTGAAGGTGCGGGGTCCTAGTGCCCCAGGATCAGGAATGCAGAGAATCCTACAAGGCCGTCCCAAAGAGCTGGCCTGAGTGGGTTGGGAAACACTGACACCACACGTGACTACATCAGTGACTAAAGCCACAAATACAGACGCTGAATTGCCTAAAAGTTACAGCTTAATATGTCTCCTCAAATCTCCCCTTCAGAGAACACGTGTCGAAAACCAACACACTTTACAACCGCCCCGCCCCGCGCCTAACCGTAGCTTCCACGGCCCCTCTGGGGCCCGGGGAACGCGCAAGGACAACCGTGCCTCGGGCAGAGGCGGCCTCTGGGGCTTCCGAGCTCCGGGAAACGGAGCGGGCCCGCACCCCTCACGCCCTCAAGACCCAGGCTGGGGTCTCGGGTCCCCGCGCTGTGTCTGGGCTCATTTTCTTGGCGTTTGGTTTGCTTTGTTTGGTGGGGAGGGCAGTACACTGTGGGAGGGCGAAGGCGTCCGCAAGCTGCGGACTAGGGCCGGGGGGCAGGAGGGCGGGCGGGGCGCAGGAGCAGCGGCCCGGCCCCCGGAGCTCGCCAGAGCCGCGCTGGCCTCCGCCCCCGGGCCTCCCACTCCGGGGCAGCCGTACTCCTGCCAGGCACTAGAGGCGCCGTCCACTGAGCCTGACTGCCGCCGGGGCCGCAGCACAAGGCCTTCTCTCCGGACTCGCCCCACCTTCTTTCCCGCTTCACTCGTAGGAGCTTCCTCGCTACCCCCTTGCCGGCGGCTCCTGAGGGAGAGGGCGCTCCCGGGGGTCCCTTTATACCCTCCGGCGACGTCAGGGCTTGCGTCACAAAGACCCGCCCGCTCACGGCAGGCTCTGGATGATCACGGAAGTAGGCGGGGCCTTCGCCCCAGCCAATGGGAAGCCGAAAGGGACAAAGGCTGGAATTCCGCGCCTGGAAGGCGTGCTTTGCCTATTCCGGGGAAGGCAAACCCGGAAAAGAAGGAAACTGGGTGTTTCCGAAGGGCCAGGAGTCTGGGTGTAGGTCAAGGCTACGGCCTGTGGTCAATCAGTCGAAAATAAGCGCTTGTTTCGAAGGAGGACGAGCGTTATGACAGTTCTTAATTTTGCTGTCACCGCCACTGCTTTCCACAAGCTCCTTTCCTCCCCACAAATCCGTTACTCTGGAATCATCTTTCCTAAGAAAGATTTCTGCCACTATGTACACAACATAAGTATGAAGAGAATGAATGATTTTAGGCAACAGTACTTTTCCTCTTGAGACACTCGCCTGCGGGAAGAGAATTGACGTCAGTCCTGAAGTTCCCGTTTCTGTAATTAGGGCTTGCAGTAACACCTCAGATACAATTTAACAGCCCTGTCAAATCACAGTGTCAGTAACAGGTTCCAGGTCGTCCAGTACTGTGTTTAACCTCTGCTTAGATTTACCAAAGGAATGTCGGCTCATTTTAAAAATACCCACTCCTTGCTCTTTCACCTATTCCGCCTAACATATTTGGGCTAGGCATTAAGTAACACCATAATCCTGATTATCAGATTACAAGCAGTTTTCATTGTAACCCATTTTCTAATGTTTAAAAAGCAACAAGAACCACTGACTTAATTGTAAATCAATTTGCTAGTCATACCGGGGCACTTATCTGATAAAATCTTTTTTTTTTAATTTAGAAAAAATAGCACTTCCTGAGCACTTCACAATGATTTCATGTTACAGCCAGTCTAAATATATGCAGAAAACAGTCTTTTCTGGGGATAGTAATCCAAAAATTTTAAATTGTTACTGTCCATTTATATGGCATGCAAGTTCCATCTTCTCATGGAGACATTTTTAAAACGCAAAAGATTTATACCACATGTAGAGAAACCAGAGTATAAGAGACTATATTTTCAAGATTAAAGGAGAAATGCACTTTAGATTGATTATAGGCCAGTGGTAGGTCTGTCCTTCCTCAGAGATCCCAGCCCCACCCAGAGTAGGATAAAATTGAGATGAGGCCATTTGATTTATAACACATGTAACTTTTCAGTTTGTAACACATTTTTTTCTTATTTTTTTCTTACATCATTGTAGTCCCCACAGTTCTACCACCATATCACCCGTGAACCACATTTTCTCTCATGTTCTTCCCTCCCCTGGATAACACATTTAACTTAATCAAAGGTGTAATGTAACTGAGACCCATTTATGGTGTCTTTTGAAATTAGAGACATTTATGTTTGTGAAGTCCAAACTCAGTGTATCATCTCAAGTAACCTAATTACGGGTTAGGAATTGTGAAGAATATGTAACTCAGAAGGCAAGCCTTTACTCTTTCCACAATTCTTCATGACTTATTTGTCCCAGTCCTTCTGACATGCAAATTGTTAGTGAAAACTTTTAATCAAAAAGTATTAAATCATTTGCTGATTTCTTGAACTCTCAATGTTTTAATGTGGTTTTACAATCACCTTGTCCTTATGTTGTTACTAGGAATCTAACCAAAATTGAAATCTATCTTGTTAGTTACTGTTCTCTGCCCTTATCCCCATCCTTACCTCTTATCTTGGACGTGGATAAATGTCCAAGGTTCTTGGTGTGAGCTCTGCACGCCTCCATCCCTCATCCCATGATTCTCACTTGACTCTAGAGAATAGGAATGATTACTCATGCCGTTTGTTACCTCTGTGCCTTTTTTTGCTTGTTTGTTTATACATGCACTGGGTACAGTCAGAAGCGCGGGAGGGTGAGAGAATTCACCAGAGCCAGAGCGGGGAGCAGAGCAGGCAGAAGGACCGAAGTACACTGCTGAGGGGAGCAGCGGGCAGCAGGAGAGGTCTGCGCGCCATGTGGGACCCTCCTCCGGTGGCCGGGGAGCAGCCGGGGATCGAACCGGGGTCGCAGAGGCCTCGGGCAGCTTCACAACCCAGCGCTCAACCACTGCACCACCGGGGAGGCCCACCTCTGTGCCTTTACTCAACAGATACATGGCATGGGATATCCTTCTAGTTATCATTTTCACCTGAATCTATGCTTTTTAAAAACTCAGCAAGCTCTAAAACCCATTAGAAAAGCCAATGGGTTAGAAGCATTTTCTTGGCAACCCCACAATATACCTTGAGCACAAGCTTGCTCTGTAGAATTGACTCTTCTCTCAGACTTACTAACTTTACTAAGATGATAACCTAGGACAGTGTTTCTCTAACTTAGACCACCTGCATTAGAATAATCCTAATGATTAAATGGTGTCCCAAGCCCTACCTAGAACCTACTAGAATCTGAGTAGGGCAAATCTGAAAAAGACTAAAATTGAAAACCTCTGGCCTATAGAAGGAGAAATGAAGAGTAACTCAGAGATCACATGGGTTTTAGAATGTTGCTTCTATTTCATACCCAGTCAACTAGGTTTATTTCCACAGAGTTTATACCTCTGCTAGTTTTTATAGGAAAGCTAAGTTCACTGTGTACTGGGTGATTTTTGCACACTTTACTAAAGGGGCACATCTTTTTATGGACCAATTTTCATTCTTTTGTTCTTCCAGTTCTTTTTCTGTATTTCCTCTTAGCTTCTTTTTGACATTTTTATTGAGATACCATTAGTTTACAACACTGTATATGATTTAAAGGAATAGGATCACCCCTTTTGGGTGTATGCTACCTTTTACCATACATCTTCTTGGGACAATGTGGGCTTCATTTTTTTCTACAAAACATACCACCACCAAGGATAAAAAAAAAAAAAAAGAATACCAAACAGTACATCCTAAATGCATAAATATATGTCTTTGTAGGTACAAAGCTATTTTTGAATTTTTACCACCACAATTTGCTTAAAGAAGCAATAAACTAGATTTTATACAACAGGGAAAATATATGTGAGTATATACACACATACACATATGTGTATTTAAAAATCAGATATGGATTGCCCTTTAATTTTAGTTGGCAGAAATATAAAAGTGCAAATTCTGTAAATAATTGACTCACACAATATGTGACAATAAATCTAATTTTCTGTGACATCTGAAAGTAACAATTCTATACTCAGTTCAGTACTTATGTGTCATGTGCTAAAATAAAAAAAAAAAAAAAACCTAACCTAGAAGATAAAATCTTCAGTATAATAACCACAAAGGTGACTATTACATTATTATTAGACCATGCCTCCATGTGTGTTGATGTATAAAAATTGTGCTGAGTACATAAAATATATATTAGATAGTTCTCTCATCATAGGCACAATCTAATACAAAAACATATTTATCACTTATAAATGAAAAGATCCATTTGAGAGCTTCCAATATAGGAAAGGGGAAGAATGAGTGACGTCAACATAAAAAGGCACACGTGGATGCAAATAATCCTGCTTATATGATTATTTTCTTCAGCAGAGGGGGTAAAGAGCATTTTACACCAAGCGAAATTACCAGGCAGACTACAGTAGTTCACAGGCTTTATAAGTCATGGCACGCAGGCCAGGTAATTTTTAAGAATTCTTAACTCAAAATAGACTTGGATTTCAGTCAACCTGATAGTATCCTTGCATCGTGGCTTTGATATTTTAGAGTCTTCATCTACCCCTTCTCCATGTCCTACTGCCATGTGAACACATGCATACTAGGGCTAAATGCACCAAACCTCTGAGAGACTGCTCTAACTATTTAAGAGAACCAGCTAGAAGTTGGTACAAAGATGTCTACTCCTTAACGTGGGTTAACCACAAACTTATTTAAAACTCTCAAAATCTCTCTGGAGAAATAAATTTTTTTAAAGCTCTTAATGCAGAACACTTTTTGAAAGAATTCTAAAGTATAGGGTTTATGTAATCTTTGAATAGTGAATAAAAGTTTGAATAATATTTAAAATGAAAATTCAAGTATGTTTAAACTGAAGAACTTCCAAGATTCAGAATGTTCCACAATTGTAACCAAGAAGTTTGCAACATATATTGCAATGAAGAAGACAACAAAATGGCTTGAGCCACATGTGAAAGATTCATAATGTTCTTCCTTTCAGCATTGATGAAACCAGGTGGCTAATATTTTTAGACACCAGTTTTTCTCTTCAGAAAGCTTCTACTAAGCTCACAGATCTACTCATTCACTGAATGCAGGATAGCAATCTTTTCTCTTTAGCCAGAAGCTCAGACCAGTGCAAAATTCATAACATGAAGAATTTCCATGTGAATTAATACCTTGGAAGTGAGGATACACAAATTTTAGCAAAGTTATTGAGGAAGGATCATTTGGAAAATGACCACTCCCTCAAAACTAGACTAAGTAATTAAATCTGCCAACATTCTAGCTGCTTTTCCCAGGTCTTATTTTGAAAAGAAATATAAAAGTACTGACATTGCAAGAGATCATGCTTCTGCCAAAAGGTTATGTAAATAAATGACCCTAAAATGATTGTCTTTTGCTCAATATAATTTTTTTCTTAAATTTAACCTTAAGACTGAGTCAAGTTAGTCACACAATTATGGCAGAAATATGCGAAAGTGACAGAAGTATTTATACTCTTCAAAACCCACAGGTGTGCAATACTAAATAAAGAAGTAAACTGAATGACAATAAAACTTTGTAATGAAGAATTGCAAAATAACTTTGACCTCCTTTTGTAACACTGAATAACCTGAGTGAAGGGAAAAATGATTAAAGCCTGGTAATAGAGCACTTAGCAAACCCTTTGCCATCAAATATTTTGAAGCAAAAAGCCATATGTTCATTCAACAATAACCTTTCCAAGGAATGAACCTTTTGAGGAATTCGTATCTCAATAAAAGATTTCCAAATTTTGGTAATTAGACAATTTTTAAGAAAGAAAAACTCTTTAAAAATATAGGTATTATTTGTCTAGTTTACAGATGAGGCTTTCTAATTAAATTAGCAAAACAGTTACACTTTTGGTTACAAAACTACTTGCTTCTATGTGGGTAGCTTTCAATGGAAAAGAGTGTTCATCATTTTGAAATATTTTGTATATAATCTGAAGATCAGTGTTTCTGGCACAAGTTTATGCTTTTTAGCATAAACTTGTGATAACCTATTTTTATTTTACAATAAGAATATTCAGTCCACAGTGAGAGAATTGCACCCTATTCATAGTTCCACCGATAAGCCACATGAAGTAGGATAAGTTAATTAGCTTTTCTTTGCTTCAACTTCAGTGTCTGAAAAAAGGGGAATAAACATTATCTGTGCTGCTTTTCACAGGAATAGTTTGAGGATAAAGTAAAACACTAAAAAGCACTTTTATTTTTTTTCAAAACACAATATAAATGCTATGTCATGATATTGTTAATAATTTTACAGGTACCTTTTAGTGTTACCCCCCAGTCAGATGTGTGCTTAAGATTAGGCGTTCCTATAAGAACATAGGTTGAATAGTTTGATTGCATTTTAAAAATAATAAATCACAAAACTAAAATGTTTGAACAAGGTCACTTAGCCCTCTCCCCAGGTGGTTAGTTTATATTACTATTATCATCAGTATTATTACTTTTTAGGTATATGTTTAAAAGAGGAGATCTTTAATATGTCAGCTTAAATGGAAAAATGTGTCCCTGGCACAGGTGGTTTTCAGAAGAAAAGCCGATCTTCACAAGAGCTGTGTCCTCGGTTTTTATTTTAAAGTGCAGAACCTGGGTGGGGAGGGACAGAGTGGGAATTCCAGGTCTGTCACTGAGGAACCAGCTCCCTCAGAGAGGCTAGAGCAGCATGGATGCGGACATGCAATCTGTTTTCAAAGTCGTAGCCAGAGAAATCCTCCTGTAAAACCAAAGAAAGACATTTACTGACTCTGACCTGAGTTTTTGTAATACTGCACTGTGAACTAGGCTAAGTTTTGTATTTTCCAAAGTAAAATCCCTTACATTTCTACTAAAGTTCTCAAGTTCACTTCATTTTCTAAGCCCCAAACCTCAAACTTCTTGTTCATCTTTAAAATGCCAACCACATGTCATCGATGTTGTTGGAAAACTTTCCTCATGTTAGTCATGAAGCACTAGTCTTAAGCTCTGCTCAACATGAGCTGCTGCTTGAAATTCTTAATCCTAAGAACCTAGTTATGAAATCAAGTTATTTTCCCATGCAAACAAGAAGCATGTTCATAAAACAGGATGAGCAAGTTCATACTGATTTTTTATGATCTTGGAAATTGCACTTAAAGTCAAGTGCTCACTGATTCAATTAGTCATCACTTTCCCTTTCCAGAAATATTTTCAACTAGAACAACCATCTCACAAAATTCCTTGAATTCAGACTCCTGTGTACACTACAGTGGATGAGGAGAACCACTTGGAAGATGTTGATTCAGTAAATTACCTTTGCTTGAAGAAGTAGAGTTCTGCCTCTTGCTACAGTCTATGAATGGAAGAAAAGATAAAATGTCTTAGTATCTATAATATGTAATTACATATAGTCAAGCAGAAAATGCCATAATGGGGTATGTTAATTAAAACAATTCATAGTAGACAAAGAGATGAGTCAATTGCTCATTCAAGTATAATGACTCAAATTTTCTTTCATATGAAGATACTTACAAGTTTACATCTAGACATTAACTGAAAAATAATTTCATAATTTTCACTACTATCCTATGAAATATTACAACTGGGAAGAGTTGTCATGATTTAGGTTAAGATCTCACTAAGTAACCTAAAATTAGTGATAATTAAAAGGCTTATTTGGAATTAGTAAGTTATATCTCCTTTTGAAGGCGTTATTAAGTGAGAACATCAACTTTTTTTCCCAAAAACAGAACAGTGTTGTTATATTTTATGTATATATGTTAAGGTTACACAAAGAGTAAAAATGTCCTTAAAATAAAGAACATCTTATGAGGAATTTCTATCAAAATTCATAAAACTGATTTTCTATTTTTGACATTGGAATTCCATATGAAAAGATTTACCAACTAAAAGCATATCTTTGGCAAAGATAGGCTACATATTTTTGGGTTAAATTAATATCATACTTCTGTTGATTTAGTTCAACCTTTACTGGGTCCAACATCTTTGAAAGCCAAGTTGAATTAACTAAACATTAGAATTTAGAAAGCCAGTATTTCATAACTGAGTCCTAAAAGAAGGTATCAAGCATATTTGGGCATTACTGAAATGCTATTTTAAAAAAGAAACAACTTCCCTTTTACACTAACTTAGATATATACTTAAAAAATCCCCAAAATTGGTTAATAGAAACTGACAATTAAAAATTTTTAAAACAATCACATATCATTTTTATCTATTTCACTACATCTTTATTAAATTAGTAAGACATATACTGTTTATCCTGTTAGTAGGTTAGGAAGAAGGTATCTGGTTAAGTAATTTAACCAGAATGAGACACTAGAATAAGTGGCAGAGCTATAATCATAATGGGATTCTTTGTTCTTCTGAATAAGCACACTGCATCATATCACATCATTCTAAAAAGGCAATGATTTTCCCTCAAATGAAACTTTATCTGAAATTTAATTTGTAATTAATTCTAACTCTAGATAAAAAGTATTTGTCCTTCAACTCTATTTAAAGATAGGATCTTTAGGGCCTCTCGGTGGCGCAGTGGTTGAGCACTGGCCTGCGAATCTGCCCGCAGCCTCTGCAGCGCCATTTGATTCCGGCCGACTGGCAAGGGTCCCACGTGGCACACAGACCTCTCCCGCCACGCCCGCAGCTCCCCTCAGCAGTGTGTTTCGTCACTCTGCCTGTTCTACTCCCTGTTCTGGCTCTGGTGAATTCTCTCACCCTCCCGCGCTTCTGACTGTACCCAGTGCTTGTATAAATAAATAAAAATAAAAATTAAAAAAAATTTAAAAAAATAAAAAAGATAGGATCTTTATCTTCTTGGACTCATTTTACATGAAATCAAGGAAAACAAAACAAAACACTGCACTCAAACTATTTTAAAATGAAGAGTGCTTTGTGCCTGCCTGTCCGTTTTCACATTTCTACTGATGAACATTATTTAAGAGAATACACAAAGTCTTACCTCTGGTTTGTCTAATAAAAGACATCCAAGTTCATAGCAAGCATATGGCTGAACATACAAGTTATTTTGACGACACAGCTCATCTTTAACAGCTCGTTGAAAGAACTGAAAGAATACAAATTTTGTTTGAATTTATTTACCTACCTAGCTTCATTTTCCTACCTAAGGCTCATCACATCTTCAAGAGGCTGAAAAGAAGGAACTCAGCAATTTCTGTATTCTACAATATATCAGATTTTCTCTTCTTTTGCATCTTTATTTCTTCCTATTCCTCCTCATCCATGTCTTAAAAGGCCTTTTACATGCTTGGCTGATAAACATCCTTCAGAGTATGCTATTCACTAGTGAGTCCAAATTGTGCTACTTAATTTCCAGTGGATATACCAGCCTCCACTGATTTATTGCTAAGAACATCTTTGCATCTCAAAGTTTGAACTATCGCACTTTAATAGTTAAACAACATATAAGCCAAGAACCATCCCTTATGCGTGTCTCAACTGTATCTTGCTGGTATTTACGTATATGAAATATAGTTATTTAGAGCTATGGAATTAACTATCATAACCCCACATTAAAGGTTAATTAAAAATTATAATACAAGTACATCAATGGTCCAGGATTTAAAGGCCAAAAGACTATCAGTATACATGAACTCTTTCATAGAGCACTCAAATCAATACCACAATACACTTTAAAAAAAAATCGCTCCAAATATCTGAGAATATGCTCCTTTTTCATACATGTCCACAGCATATCCTAAAACATCTTTCTAGATCTTACCTCCAGCACTGCAGTAATAAAAGAGAAGTGAACGTGCTGATGTGCCTGATCATCTTTGTTTTTTCTAACCATGGGGCTTCACTCTACTCCTTCAAAACTGTCCATCCCTCCTCCTCTAATTGAGACTGTCATTTTGAGAAATAGCTAATGCCAGCAAAGAAGTCCATCAGTAAAGAGGTTTACTATGAATCTGAAGTTACATTAAAAACTACTATTAACCACCATCAAACTTCTAACAGCAAATAAAGTGAATAAAAGTTCACAATGCAGTAGGAAGGTTAATGCTAATACATTTAAATTCCCCTTACTCAAGGAGCACAAGGGATTGAGGTGATGGTGCACGGGTGCACTGGTGAAGGAAATGCTATGGGGACTACACCTGAGGGAGTGGGGGGAAGCAAATATTGTTTAAAAATGAACAATGATGTAAAAAAATATATTAAAAAAAATCTTAAAAAATTCTCCTTACTCAGAGGCATGCACCTAGCCTCTTTTCAGTTTATTTTCCTCCACAATGACAACAACATGAACTGCTTACCTGAACAGCATCTTCTGAGTTTCCGAGACATTTGTGAATGGCACCAAGAAGCAAATACTTTAATCCCACAACAGATGAATCATCTACTTCATGACAAGCTTAAAGAGAAGTGAAAACAGCAGGAGAGAAATACATTCATTTAATTCTCTAAATCTGAAAGTTAAGAATTTCATTGATTAGTGTTGGTGACTTCTTCAGTTCATGATTCTGCTCAACACTTAAAAGCTTTTCTCCCTTTCCTCATCCACTAGTGAGTATCCTTAGCAAAAATAAAAACAAAAACAAATATATCAAACCTTACAGTGCCAAGAAGTCTCAAAATTGCATCATATTGTTACTAAGTGAAAGAAGCCAACCTGAAAAGGCTCCACACTATATGATTCCAACTATGACATCCTGCTAAAAACAAAATTATGGAGGCAGTGAAAAGATCAATGGTTGCCAGATGTCTGAGGGTAGGGAGGGATAAATCATTGGAATTCAGGGGATTTTTAGGGCAATGAAACAACTTTGTATGACACTGTAAGAGTGGATATATGTATTTGTCAAATCCCATAGAATCTACAAGATAACAAATCCTCATGTAAACTATGGACTTCGGGTGGTATGATGTGAGTGTTGGCTCACTGGCTGTGCTAAATGTACTGCTCTGGTGGGGGATATTGATAGTTGGGAAAGTTGTGTGCATGGGGCAGTGGGGGAGGGGATATGGGTGAACACCAGACTTTTGCTCAGTTTTGCTATGAACACAAAACTGCTTTAAAAAATTAACGTCTGGGGCCTCCCTGGTGGCACAAGCGGTTAAGACACAACCTATGAAGCTTTCCGCAGCCACTGCAGCACGAGTTTGATCCCCGGCCAGGGAGCTACCCACATGGCACAGCAGACCTCTCCTGACTCGCCTGCTGCTCCCCTCAGCAGTGTATTTCAGTCAGTCTGCCTGTTCTGCTCACCACTCTATCTCTGGTGAGTCCTCTCACTCCCCGCATCTCTGGTCTGTACCCCAGTTCTTGTATGCATAAATAAATAAATCTTAAACAATTAATAAATAAAAATTAAGGTCTGTTAAAATAACGATATTAATTTTAAAAACCATGCAGTGGGTGCTTTTACATGTTTGTATGAGGTACTGCACTTAGAGAGGGCCAGACCTGATTTCTCCACTTCAAAAAGCTTGCCATCTACTGTGGAGGACAGACATTCCTATTGGAGGATGACATGAAGTTTCCAAGGAAATGAAAAAGGTGGAAGTTGGAAACAATGATAATACAGACATTGAGATTTGATAAGATCTTATAAACACACACATATCCACAGTGCTATATATACATAACAATGTAGGCGTGTGTGTGTGTGTGTGTGTGTGTGTGTGTGTGTGTGTAAATATACATACAGAGCTCAAAGTTCCCAAACAATCAGAAGTAGTTGGAAGAGCTGGGTAGAATGGAAAGAAGGTAAAGGTACAGTGTGCACCTAGAGAAGCAGCAGATGCGTCTACAAGCTAAGGAGAACAGCTCCAAAGAGAACTTCAAAGAGCTTAAGGCAGCAGCATTCAGGAAAGGGGATGCAGTTCATTTGCTCACTTACTCATTCATTGAAAATCTACTGAGCACCAACCACATGCCAGTCGGTTCTAACCGTCTGAAATTCAGACATGACAAAACAATCCTGCCCTCAAGAAAGGAGCATTTTACCAAGAAGACAGACAATACAAAGGAACAGTACAATATGATGTAAAAGAAGTGTATTAAGGTAAAAAAATAAAGCCAGAGAGAGAGAGAGAGATAAGTGTCAGAAAGGAGCAGTTTAAGCCTCACTGAAGAGTAATGTTTCAGTAAAGACACAAATGGACCCTGGGGTTGGGGTAAGAGCATCTGCACGCAAAGAGAAGAGAAGAGCCAGTTCGAAGCCATTGAGGCCAGTACGTGTCTGTTGTGTTCAAGAACTGGAAGGAGGGGTTTGGCTGGGCCTGGTGAGCAAGGGGAAAAGCAGTGAGAAGCAATGGCACGGAGATGGTGCAGTGTCCAGACTGTGGGGCATTGTGGGCCACTAGGGGACTTGGGTTTTTACTTTGAATGAGGTGAGACCACAGAGGGTTCTGAGCAGCAAAATAGCTATTATGAGACTTAGGCTTGTTTTTTTTTTAAAGTTTATTTATTTATGAATACAAGAACTGGGGTACAGGACAGAGGTGCAGGGGGTAAGAGGATTCACCAGAGACAGAGTGGGGAACAGACCAGGCAGAATGACTGAAATACACTGCTGAGGGGAGCAGCGGGAGAGACAGGAGAGGTCTGCTGTTTGGGCTGGGGATCGAACTCGTGCTGCAGAGGCTGCAGATAGCTTCACAGTGCTGTGCTTAACCCCTTGCGCCACCAGGAGGCCCCGAGACTTAGGTTTTGATAGGACAGTTTGGGTGCTGTGCTCAGAGCACACAGAAATATCTTTAAAACCCAGGGAGAATGCAAAGGAGAGGGGAGAGTGGCTGGGAAGGGTGATGAACAGCACAAATAAAGATTATGAGAATTCAATTTAATTCTACTGATGGGAGTTACAGGTGGCTGACAACTGAACGTACAAAGCTGTGTGGGGTTGAAGGAAAAGTTTAATAGATGAATATGATCACGGTCACCCAGGACCAGTTTTTCCTGGAACTTACCTTTTTCTACAAAGATTTTCACTGTATTCTATATAGTTGAACGAATTTGAATCATTACTGCTTAACACTGGTGAATGAAATAATCTAATTAATAGCTCTCAGAACTGGGTGGACATTTAACCAAGACATTAAAGAATTATCTCACTTTTATTCCAGAGCCTAGCTCCCTCTCCATGACTACCTGCTTGTTGTTAGTTTATTTTGCAACCTGGGAAGAAGTTCAGAGAATATTTAAGTCACTTTACATGATAATCATTCTTGTGCCTGCCAATTACTGCCTACTTATATTTGCATTTGTGTTTTAATTAGCTGTACGTACATGATCCTGCACTTGTGCATTAAGAAAGTACTTAAATTTCTTTAGTATTCCTTTGCATTAGACATTGGTAAATAGTCTAGACTTTCATGTGTTTAAATTATGCATATCCTTTTTAAACAAACATCACAGAACCTGCACATCCTTTCAAGTAGTCTCCTTAGGAGGGTTGCCTGTCTACTCTAATTACAGGCCCCGCACAACTTTGGGAGGTGCATTACTTTGATCTCTGGAATAACAACGTTTATGAAAGTTTTGATCTACAAAAGTGGACCTTTTCCTTTTGGGTTTTTTTTAAATTTTTTTATTTTAACATTTATCTTTTTTTTTACATTTTTTAAGACAATATTTGCTTCCCCCCACCCCCTCAGATTGAATCCCCATAGAATTTCCTTTCCCAATGTACCCGTGTACCATCACCTCAGTCCCCTGTGCTCCTCCCTCCCTCCCTCTCACCCCCTTCCTCCCTCTCACCCCCTCCCTCCTCCTCCCCTCCTGTCTCTGGTTTATAATTGTCTGTTTTTGCTTTGTTGTGTTTTGTACTGTTGTTATTTTTTTTTACACTGATGTCTTATTTGGTTCCCCTGTATTCCTGTTATAAGTGAAACCATCCAATATTTTTCTTTTTCCTTCTGGCTTATTTCACTGAGCATAATTCCTTCAAGTTCCATCCATGTTGCTGTGAATGGCATGAGTTTATCTTTTTTGATTGCTGAATAATATTCCATTGTGTATATATTCCTTTCGGTTTTATTTTTTTTGGGAAATAAGCAAAAAAAATCTGCAGGGAAGTTTGATGATAAAGTAAGTGATGCCATGGGTGAAACTGTATTTGGGCAAAAATGAGTGATAAGGCGGAGAATCTGACACATTTTCTCCAGTAGCTAACAAACTCTTTGGGGAATAAATCCAAAATATTAATGCTGAACCTTTATTGGAAAAGGGCATCCTCTTTGTGAATAAGAATACATTTCCAAAGTTATTCATCTTCTGGTAAACCATCTTTTGAATGTCTGTTTTAACTTTAACACTGCAGCCTCATGTGGAATCATATGGTGAGCTGCACGGTTTTAGTCTTTCTGCACTCCCAGGAAGACAAAGCTGTGTGTAGGAGCGGGAAGCTCTCCTGGCAGGGCTAGTCTGGCCAGAGAGCAGCTGCACCCACACTCCTGGGGAGCCATCATGTCATGTCCTGCATGTCCTGGTCCTCAGTTTCCTCATGAAATGGGTATGGCAATATTGTCTGTCCTTCCTACTTTCCTGCGCTGGAGTGTGGAGCAAAGAAAATAATCTTTCAGACAAGAAAGAGTTGGCCATTTAAACTAAGAAATATTACAGTGTTTCTTTAAAATAGGGCTCTCACACAGTCCTATTTTATTTAAAAATTTAGTTTATTCTCCTTGAGAACTTTTCCTACAACTATAATAAAAATGACCTTAAAAAGATTATTATAACCTATGTTTTTATGGTTTTTTAATATTTGAAACAAGGACCTCCCCCACCCCCCCAAAAAAAAAGGAAAGAAAGAAGGGCCTTTCCCCTGGTGGCGCAGTGGTTGAGCGCTGGGCTTTGACATTGGTAAATAGTCTAGACTTGCAGCAGCCTCTGCAGCGCCAGTTTGTTCCCCGGCCGCTGGCGAGGGTCCCACCAAAAAAAAAAAAAGAAAAAAAAAAAGGACCTCCCCGGTAGCACAGTGGGTTGAGAGCAGCACTGTGAAGCTGTCCGCAGCTTCCACAGTGCCGGTTCGATTCCCAGCTGGCCAGGGAGATTCCCACGTGGTGTGGCAGACCTCTCCTGTCTCGCCTACTACTCCCCTCAGCAGTGCTGTCGGTCTGTCTGCCTGTTCTGCTTCCGCTCTGTCTCTGGTGAATCCTCTCATCCTCCTGCCACTCTGGCCTATACCCCAGTTCTTGTATAAATAAAAATAAAAAAAATCTTTAAAAAAAATTTTGAATCGCAAATACAGGCATCTAATTACACTCCTAGGCATTTACTTAAGAGAAATAAGCATGTACAGCCACATAAAAGACTGTACACTTATGCTGTACAATTTCTTTGTAGCAATTTCACTCAAGATGGGTAAAAACTCAGGCCTCCTGGAGGCCAAGGGGTTAAGTCTCAGTGCTATCACTGTCAATGCCTGATAGTGGACCTTTTCCTTTGGCTTTGTTTTTTGAGAAAAAAGTACAAGACATCTGCAGGGAAGTCTGATGATAAAGTAAGGGATTTCATGGGTAAGACTATATTTGGGCAAAAACTAGTGACAAGGGAACTAACCTTGTCACTAGTTAGTTAGTTCTAGCCAGGGAACTAACCCAAATGGCACAGCAGACTTCTCCTATCTTGCCCGCTGCTCCCCTCAGCAGTGTATTTCAGTTAGTCTGCCTGTTCTGCTCCCCACTCTGTCTCTGGTAAATCCTCTCACCCCACCCCTGCACCTCTGGCCTATACCTCAGTTCGTCTATGGAAAAAAAAAAAAAAAAAAAAAAAAAAAAAAACCTTTAAAAAGATGGGTGAAAACTCAATGAACTCCATACATTAATATCTGTATTTTACTGTCTGTGAATCACTTATATGAAATGAAGGGCTTTAAGGAAAAAATACATGCTGCCAGCCAACCTCATGAGAACAGATATAATAACAATTTTAATCAGTAGACATTGCCATACACTTATCAAAGAGAGCAAGTTTGTACATTGCACTCCTTCCTGTTCCCATCACTGAAGAGACTAATTTTCTTAGTCACTACACCTTTTATCCAGGGGTGGCAGACTTGTACTTTGAACCAGACAATATTAATGAGAAAATGTAAGTAGCAGCATTGGAAAAAACAAGGTGGAATGTATAGAGTTGGGTTCTTACCTTGACTCATTCTCTGTAGGTTGGGGAAGGAGCAGTTGGGAAGGGCTTTCCACAAGTACAACACTTCAACAGACGCCAGCACGCATAGCACTTTGGTTGGGGCTTGCTTCCGAAATCTCTCCGCCTGCAGGTAGACAGAATAATCAGGCTTCACTTTTTGAAAACAAGTTCATATGAAGAATATACTCTGGAGACATTTAAAAGTGCACAGTTCTTTTGTGACAAGAATGATCCTCTCCTATTAAGCGAAAATAAAGATTTCTATAAAAAAACTTTGCTCTCTAATTTTTAGTGTTATGGTAGATATGCCTTCATTCATTATTCAACTCAATCTACTATCAAGATCCAGAGTATATTCTGAAAACGGGGGGATGAAACTAAATTCATTTCAGTTGAAATAGCAGAAAACTATAAATGTCTGTGACATATAATAACTCAATGTGTTTATATAGAGGGTGTCATACTAAATGTGTGTTAGTTGTGGTTTCATTGACTTTTTTGCTTTCCACTTGGTCCCGGTTCTCTCAGTTAGCATTCCACATTATAATATAGTTTATAGTCAGATTATGTCATTAAGTGACCATTCAATAAAAATGTTTAAAATAAAATCATAGAAAACTTAATGAATTATGATACAACCCTGGGTAATTCAGGTAAGTTTTATTCTTAAAAGTCTAGAATAAGGGCCTCCCTGGTGGCACATGGGGTTAAGTGTCAGCACTCTGAACCTATTGGCAGCCACTGTAGCACGAGTTCAATTCCCGGCCAGGGAGCTACCCACATGGTGCAGCAGACCTCTCCTGTCTTGCCCGCTGCTCCCCTCAGCAGTGTATTTCAGTCAATCCCTCTGTTCTGTTCCCCACTCTGTCTATGGGGAACCCTCTCATTCCCTGTCCCCCGCACCTCTGGCCTGTACCCCAGCACTTGAATGCATAAAGAAACAAAATAAATCTTTTTTAAAAAGTGGAGAATAAATTATGGACATTATGCCCACAGTCTGGAGTCTTTCTGCTGGTACATTTGATGCACAATTTTGCTTCTGATTAGGTCAAAATGTGATGTGTTCACCATATTGAGAACCAACAGTCTGCCTCTCTCACACAGGTTTTGCCAATTTGTATTCTCCAGAAACTACCAAGCTCTTTAGACAGACACTTTTCCTCTCCAGATATGCTCATTAGCTCTGCAGGGTCTGTAACGCTGCTACTCATCCAAAACTACAACAACTGCTTTAATTATTTGCAGCAACACAAGCACTTTCTATTCAGAGCAGAAGTGTGGCCATGGGAGCAAATCCTCTCCAAGTGGAGAACTGCATTTTGCATGGCAAGTAAGGCTCCAGCTTTGAATGATTTCCTCAAGCCTGTGCAAGGCAGCACCAGCTACAGATGCCCAATGCCACGATACATCAGGTTCCCACATACCTTTTTCACTGAGAACTGTTCAATCTGATTGTTTTTCCTTTTGAAGAGTTTCTGAACTTCTTTGAAGACAATCTGTGCCCCATCCACATCACCGGTGGCGCCCTGACAAACTGCAAGAAACCATCATCGTATTCTTAAGTATTAGGGGAAAATGACACTAAGCACTCCACACCCAGGTGGATGACATTTGGAAGATGTTGCCAAAGAAAAAATGGGAGTAACTATTTTTAAAGACTCTTACACAGAACACTATACCATCCACCCATCATTCCATTTATTCAACAATTATTTCCTAGGTGCTGAGTTGCCAGAGGTTTGGAGGGATGTATGGGAAAGCCGTGGGCCTAATCCTCTGGTTGGAGAGATTCTCACACCCCACAAAATCCCCAGTTTGCAGTGTGGTTGGAGTCCACATGGTCAAAAAGTAGACTGAAAAGGAATCTAGGAAAGGACAATGAGGAGCCCAGAGGGTCACGAGAGTGTCACAGCAGAAGGAGACTGTCCCTGTGCCTAGAAGGAAATGAGTTAGTCCTGCACAAGGTCACGCGTCACCGTCACCTACAATCCATTGGCAAGCTTGTGAAGAAGAAACACACATATTTGCACTCTGATGAAACTTAAATTTTAGCTGTAGAGATAAGACACATGCAGTCTCCACTACAATGTGGAGGGTGATAACAGCCTTTAGAGGTAGAAAATCAAAGTGTTTTTGGAAAAGTTCAGAAAGAAAAGAGATCATTTCCCTTTGGAGTGATCAGGGACGCTGTGAGGACCAAGGCATAGAATAGAGCTTTGGGGGATGGTAAGATTTTGAGAGTCTGCAGAGCATCTTCACCCCACCCAGAGTCCCAAGCAAAGTGTTAATCATAGCCCCTTTGCTATGTCTGTTTTTTCCCTTCTCCAAACTTCACACTGATTTGAGTCCCACCTTCTTAATGAAACTTTACCTACTCTTTATCATCATCTTCTCAACCCCTAGGGCACCAACTTCATTTCTAGTAGTCTTGTTAGATGTCTTTGCCACGCACTGTTTTTCAATCACTGGTTGGCATACCCATTGATTTGCTAGTTCCTCCTTCTTTATTCAAGTACCCCTACAACTAGGTGGTTGGTCCTGCCCTCTCATTTTTGGGCTAGATCAATCAGAACACAAGGCCAGGTAATGTCAAAGGTAGACAGGTTGCAGCTGGGCCACTGAAGCAGAAGCAGCAAGGTTTGGGAAAAGTTGAAGGCAGTGAGGTGATAGGAAAGTCCAAAGTTTTCTACTGGGCACCAGAGGGTTTAGGCTAATATTCAAAGGGAAGGACAACCCTATATACAGTTACGAGGGACGCCCTAGTCCAGCTTCGGGGATCTAAAACCATCCAAAATGACCTCACAGCCCAAATATTTAAAAAAATTAGTGATTGTTTTAGAAATCAACCCCATCAAGTTAAAGATCACAGAATGCAAAGGTGCAGAAAAGTTCAACGACTTGCCTCAGGTTACACAATTAACCAATGAAAACGAAGAAGTTCTGTAGCTTCTAGCTTGAGGTGCCCCTCAAATAAGTGGTATCCTTCTCAGAATCATGTGAAAAAGAAAAGAGTGAGCAAACAAAGGAGAGTGAAAACAGAAAGATTATGAATGAGGCACAGTGATAAATAGTAACAGTATCAGGTATCTCAGCCAACCTTTCAGATCTGCTACACTAAAACCCCTAATCCCGTAGAATACATTACACCACCTTCTCCCACGGACACTTAGAGACAGTTGAAAGCATGTAGATGTGTGAAGGCTTGTGCATATCTGGTCTGCCTTAAATCTGAGACCTAAAGACAATTTAAGAAGCTGGGCTCTTCCATTAATCTAAGTTTACGCTACAACCTGTAAGTGACATTTGAATCTATTTTTAGCAACTTTTAATTACATGATTTCAAACCCAGAGAAGAGTTGCAAAAGTAATACAAGGATATGACTCAGCAATCCTATTTCTGGATATATATATATCCAAAGGAATGGAAAGCAGGGTCTCAACAGACCTGTGTTCATAGTAAGCATTACTCAGAAAAGCTAAAAGGTAGAAATAACCGAAATGTCCATCAACAGATGAACAGGTAAATAAGATGTAGCATGAACATACAGTAGAGCATCATTAAAAGTGCATGAAAATTCTGATACAACAAAAAATATAGATAAAATTTCAAGACATTATGCTAACAGAAATAAGCCAAACAGATACAAAACTTTCTGTATGTTCTACTTACATGAGCTACCTAAAAGTCAAATTCATAGGGATGCAAATTAGAATTGTGGACCAGGAGGTGGAGGGGTGGGGGCGAGAAGTTGCTGTTTAATAGATGCAGTTTCTGTCTGGGATAACCGAGCTTTGGAGATGGAGAAGTGATGGTTGTATGACATTATGAATGTTACTCAGGAGTGCCACTGAGCTGTACCCCTAAAAATGGAAAAATAAATGGCTAACCATGGTAGGTTTTATGCTATGTGTATTTTATGACAAAAATATACTCTAAGGAACTAAGTCCCTGGTGGCAGTGTTTCTGCTTCCCAAATCCCATCCTCTCCAGCTCTGCCTGTCCACCTGCACCTGTCCTCCACGGCCAGCTCAAAAGGCAGCCCCCCGCAAGAGGCCTTTTCTGTTGGTTTGACAAAATAATCCTTTCCTTTCCTGTTTATTCCTCATAGTGAGCTATTCACATGTCTTGTCATCTACACAAAATCCCTTGCAGAGGCAGAGAGCAGAGTCATTTGTGTTCTGTCATCATCTCCTGTAACTGACACTCTGCTGGAATCTCTAATATTTAGAGAATAAATATGTTCCTCTATGTAGCTGCACTGTATATTTCATGTTCCATGCTCAGCAAAGACTTAAAAAAAAAAAAAAAAAAAAGCTGCTCACAACTGACCGTGTGACCCAATTACACCTCAACAGCCTGTTGGGTTATGGTGCAAGCCTGTCTTCTGGTTCATACATTCTGGAATGTGTTGGGCACATCAAGGTCACTTAATAAACAGATGCTACATTTTTATCTGAAATGCCTACGAATTCTTGTGGTGTGAGACAGCATACTAGCCAGCACACTGAAAATAATCCTTTTCAAACATTGGCTGGAGAGACAAATAAACCAGATGCCTTGCAGGTACTGTAGTGAGGCATGCGGCAGCAGGAGAGCTCACATTGATTGCTAATGGATTGTGGGACTATTAATTCTACCAGACTCTAAACAAATTATCAGTTAATGGGGTTTCATTAAATCCAAATATTCAAATAAATAAGGAAATATTTTTCTTAGTTTGAATTTCAAGTAAGGGAATTACTTATGTGGCTGAAAAGGAGAGTTCATTTTTAAGAGGCAGAAAGAAAATGTTCAACCTCCTGGGTTTCTTCTTGCCACCACGGCACCTCATGCATCTCAGGGCACTGACAACTCTTGTCCACCAGATGGCAGCAGGCCTTCGCTTATCTCCTAATGCAAACAAAGTGCTCCTACGCACATCAGAAATTACAGGTGTTTCTGCAGTAATGATACGCCATTTAGAAACACCGTGTGTGTTTCAAAATCATACTGTAAATATAACATGTTACTAGTAAAATGAGGGTGGAGCAGACTACTCAAAATCTATATGAAACACAAATGTTAACAAAATTTTACTAATACGTTGATGTCTTAAAAATTCTTTCAATTCATAGTAAACCAAAAAAAAAATAGAAAAGAAAGGAGTGGGGTAAGGGTAAGTTGACACTATTTAGAGGCAGAATGCACAATACCAGGGAGACTCTCACAATAAGAATTTCCATAAGGGAGCACATGACCGACCGCGCCAGCCAGGGGAAAGGCAGGAGAGGGGGATGGTATTCACCTGAGTTGGTGAACGCTGAGTCCAGCTGCTATTCACTGCCATGCTGGGAAAATCTCAGGGGAAGAACGCAGCTTCTACAACCCCAGCCACTGTGCTCCCCTCTGCCAACGCATCTGAGCTACTGCAAGACAAGAGAGGTCAACTCACCTGCAGTTAAATAGGCGTAATAGCACTGAGACCACCGGGACTCGTTTTTCAGCCTCTCAAAGGCATCAAATGCATCCTTGAAATTCAACTCTATCATGCTGCACCATCCTAGGAAAGAAACATTTTCAGTACACCCAAAGGAAGGAGCTTCACACCCCGGCTTTAAGCAACAAATCACAGATGCTGATATCTTGCTCTTGCATGCTATATGTAAAGTTTAAAGTTTAAAGTTTATCTTTTTTCTCTTAAATTTTTTAAATGCAATTTTTTGCATAAGAAAAGGCATTTTAATTCCTCAACCGATCACACAGCATAAAAGAGAGTAAGGCAAAGGTTTCTAGGAAAACCCTCCAGCTTGCTTCCTCTGGTGGTGAGAGGACTTCAGGCTCAGCAGTACTTTTCCAAAAGCAGGCACAGAAAACGAAGCAGCATTAGATTATGTACACAGTGACCATCTCACAAAGTCCTAAAGCACTCACCTGCTCACTAATAGCTACTATTAATTCTCAAGCCCTTGTGAGAAGTAGGGAGTAATCCACTCAGAAATAAAGTACCTCCTTGCCTTCCTTCTGCAGGTTAGTAGTGGAGCCGCATAAGGACCCCATCTTTCCCAGGTCAAAACACAGTGCCACTGATGTTGTGCAAGCAGCAGCAGCAAAGAAAAGGAAAGCTATCTGATCCCCATTGTTAGTAAAAGTATCTCCCATCAACTGAGCCCCAATGAATGCCAAGCCTTATGCCAGGCACTTGATATCATTCTCTCTAATCCCTGCTCAGACTTACAAAGGTGGCTGATGGTGTGCCAAGGAGAAAATCTATGACATAGAGAGGTTTTGAGACTTATTCAAGGCCACCGGCTAGTAAAAGGGAAGAACTAAGGATCAAAAGCCAACACATACATGATGTTGCCTCCATAAAAAAGAAAATTCTGGTATCATGTGCATCACAAAATAGTTGTGTTATCTTAGAACTGCCATTTAAACTTAAGGGGATAAGTAAGTTCCACTTTTCCAGAAAAATTCCATGTTAAATTCTATGAGCTTAGACATGAAGGTGGCATATTTTAGAGTAATGTTGGGGCTAATTATTTCCATCCTATAAAAGACATCAGGGTAAGATCTGAATTAAGTGCAAAACAGAGGTGGGAGGAAGCACTGAAGCTAAGAAGCCTGACTTAGGGTTTTCCTAATTTTCCCACTGAGTTAACTTTCTAAAGGGCCTAGTGTTGGATTTAATAACTCCAACTTCCTAACATTCTGCCACAGATCTTGAAACGGTACATTAAAAAAGGCCACCACAACCATTTTGTAATATATCTATATATAATTGTTTATATATATTTAATCATTGTTTGCCAAAGTTATGTAATTTACAGAATTATGTAATTCATGATTGAAATTTTTCAAAGGTCTCAAATTCTCAAATCTTTACTACTTCAAAGATCAGCTCAGAAAACAGAGCTCCATGTGTGAAAAATATTAATGAAATTGTCTTAAAACTATACTTTTGACTACAAAAATTATTATGCCGTAGGCATTCAGCTTATACATTTATTATAGGTCAACTTAATGAAACCAGGAGAAAAAAGTTAAGTGTCTCAAGAAAAAAGCCATCATAGCTAGGTCTTATCATTCAAGTCCTTCTACATTATGGCCACTAAACAGAATTCCAGTGGAATTTAGCCTACACAAAAACATACATTTTACATGGATTATACTTCATCTGCCTCCCTAACATAACAGGCATTTAAAACCTAGTGCTGTTCATTGGGCAGCTTCCCATCTTTTAGTTTGCACTTTTCTTTTAAAAGATTCAGGAAGACAATTTTGTCCACAGCAGGCAAAGCAAGCAGCATGCACCCTGGAATCACAAAGACATTTCAATTGCCTCCCCAGGGAACTCTACTTCTTCCATCCCTGCAGTAATCTTTTCAGTCCAGGTTTCCCTTTTAATTTCCATCACTACCTCATCCAGTTCTCCTTTCTCTATCCCTCCTTCATTCTTTTACTATGTGCTATATGATGTATGTAGTTTGAGGCCAAAACTTTAAAAAGTATGAACACATTATTAAAAATGTGTGTTCTTTCAATCCAAAGTTGAGTTTATGCTTCTTAGCATAAAAAAAGCAACTGTAACACTGATAATAGAATTATTAATGTAACAGGGCTGGGCAATTTTCATGCCATCAGTAAAAAACCTCATGCAACAACTTAGGAGAACAAGTGGGGAAAATCTTAAGCAAACAGATGCTTCCAAGTCTGCTTATAAATCTATCTCCAAGAGGGGAAAAAAGGAAGGAAGTAACTAACATGTGGAGTGCCTTCGGTATGCCAGGGCATCCTGCTCATTCATGTGATTTTACGTTTGCAAGAGGAGTCACCCTAACTCCAATGGCAACTATCAGGGCTCCTCAACTTGACCAGCATCCCCAAGAGCTGTGGTTGGATCTACATACCCACCTCTCTCCTAAGCCATATCTTCTTTCCAGGTAAATAGTGGGGGAAGGAGGAGAAAACAGTTTTGAACTCTAAGGTTGTAGTTCAATACGTATTTACAAATGATTGGTTGGTTGAACATCATCTGTTGTCTTAAAATCAAATTGTTATAAAGAATAAGAATTAATTGTGAAAACAATTACTTGTGCTATGATACCAAAGTCCTCTTATTAAAAAAGGCAGCACCAGCATGCATTTCACAAAGATATAAGCTGAATAGCATTAATGATGAACAGGTGCATTAGCACTTGCATGACAAGAGCTGGACATAGGCGAGCACATGCATACTTGCATTAAGATTATTTCACGACAAGAAACCAGACAGGCATTTCATATTTACCAATTTCATACAGACAGACATGTTGGATTTCTCTCTGATCTATGGCAAGTTCCAAAGCAGTGTGGAAGGAAGTCAAGGCACTATTAATTTGACACTAAGGGGAAAAGTGAAAATAGAGTTACTGGCTAAGATCTGTCATAAACATTACAATCATAATTTGAGAGCATCTTGCCCCTTAGCAGTTGTTTACACAGTTGAAGCAGTCCAGGTTTCCAAGATTCCGGTCAGCACTGCCATGGGCCTCACAGTTGTGAGATGAACCCAAGAACAGAGATCCTTTTGCTCAGCCAGGAGATTCCAGGAGCGAGGGGCTCAGCTCATACCCACTTTCTCCAAAAGCTCTCTCTTCAAACTTGTAAGAGAGAACTTCTTGTGGTCCAAATGCTGACCTAGCCCCTAGTAGGCTGATGCCCCATCCTCCTGTGTATACCCACTCTGGCCTGAAAGACTCAGTCAGTACTGAGTGACTACAAGGTGTCAGGCCACTGGTCCTGCCCCCACACTCCTGTCCCCCAACCACCCACTCACTCTACAAACAAGCACTTCATTTGCACTTCATTTGCTATCCAGAATGCTATTCTCTGATTGGTTCTAGTTAGCAAGTCTCCTCTCTCAATTCTTTAGAAATTCTGAGGTTCCAGAGTGCATTTCTGACTTTCACATTCATCTAGCACTCTCAAGAACTCAACAGACTGCCAAATATCTCTTCTACTTCTTCCTTCCACTAAAGATCTCTTTCAAAGCTAGCCAACCTGATACCATAAGCCCTTGATAAGTACATCTAAAAAGCATCACCAGTATAAAAAGGGTTAGATTAAAATCTAAACACAACAAAGACAGGTGTTCCGTATCACGCATTCATCAAATATATGTATGTGTGGGTGTGTGTGTATATGCGTATATATATACACACACAAACACACATATATATATAGAGATATAGATATAAAATCCTAAATGCTCCAAGGATTGGGGCATGCTGAGGAGCGCTGCTGTCTGGCTCCCACCAGTGCTAGCATGGCTCTCTCTGCCCAGGTTCAATGCTCCTCTCCGTGCCCCCCTGCGTGCCTCCTCTGCGCTACCACTGCCTCTTCTCCTCCCAGGCTGGAGCAAAAGAACAGATCTCCAAAAAAAGGCTGCCAGCTACCCTGTGGACCAGCCTCCACCACATTCCTCACTTCCTCGGTGATGCTCGGTCAGTGGGGAGACCCCTGGGACACAACAGAGAACTGCTGCATCAGCGCAGAGTCTCAGGGCAGTGTGTGACTTAGAAACACTGTACATCAAATGTCTGATTGCACCAAGGCCATGGCTGGATCAGTACCTGCTCATACTCCAAAGTAACACTTCAGTCTGTTGTCAGAGAGGTTCAGGCTGCAGCCTTCAAGCCCTCATCACCATCCACAAATGCTGACAGGAGATACACATCACCTGTTCTCAAGCAGCTTAGCATCTAGGTAGAGGAAGCCCCACAGGATTGTGAAACAGGCCTGCGACTGTGAACTCAAAAGTTTCAAGCTGACTTTAAGTACATGCTCAAAATACCAGCGGCAAAAAAAGTAACAACCGTGGTAATCTTCTATGCAGTGTGTGTGCATGTGCTGTAAAGCAAGACCTGCACACGCACTCTCTCCATCCCTAACTTCCCTTTCTGGATCAACAGTTCTTTCCCTGCATCATACATATGCTCAATTTAGCATAGTTACACAGAAACCAGCATTAGGGATTTTGCTTGGCATGTACCCGCCCCAACCCTCCTCCCCGCCCAGTTTGCTAAGTAAATGACAACTAACACACACTGGATATTTCAGGATGGACACCACCAAATTGTCCCTATCTGGGTTCAAAGCATGACAGTGCAATGCCACTGTCCTTCAAAGGACAGAAAACAACTTGGGAACATTTATTGTACAACTATATGCCCAGGTGGACTGAGGCTTTGGAGCTACAAAGACGATTCAAAACAGAGCTATGAAAAAGAGGAATGAAAATAAAATCCAAGTAATACTGGAATCAACATTTCTCTTAACCCTCTCTGTGACAAGCATTAGTTCTATTTTCAGACAAAGAAACTTAAGTTCAGAGATGTTAAGTAAATTGGCCAAGGTCAACAAATTAGCAATTGACTAGTATTCATTCTGCTCTGATTGCCTCCAGAGTATGTTTTCTTCCAGGAGAGTATGTGCAGGTATGATTAAAAATCTTGAGGTGAAGGGTATTGCAGATTGTTGGTAGACCCTAATACAATCACAAGTGTCCTTAAAAGAGGCAGGGACAGAGAGGGTTAAGAAACACAAAGGAGAAGGCAGTGTGAACAAGGAGGCAGAGTGAAGCCAGGCACCCTCCAGCCTGGGAAGCTGGCCTGTACGAGGGCTTAAAGAGGCAAAGATTGGACTCTCCCAGGAGCCTCTGGTGGGCGTGCCACCTTATCAATACCCGAGCTCAGCCAGTGAAGCCGATTATGAACGCCAGTCTCCAGAAGTATGTGAGAATAAATTCAGTTTGTTACATAGCCTTAGAAAATGAAAACAATCTATTTCTTTAAAATACAAACTGAAGGGCCTCCCCTGGTGGCGCAGCGGTTGAGCACTGGGCTGCGAAGCTGCCCGCAGCCTCTGCAGCGCCGGTTTGATCCCTGGCCGCCGGGCAAGGGTCCCACATGGCGGGACAGACCTCTCCTGCCGTGCCCGCTGCTCCCCTCAGCAGTGTATTTTGTCAGTTTGCCTGTTCTGTTCCCCACTCTCGCAAATTCTCTCACCCTTCCATGCTTCTGACTGTACCCAGTGCCTGTATAAATAAATAAATGAATCTTAAAAAATAAAATATAAACTGCAGGAAAGTACCATCTACTTTTTATTAAAAGCACTCAAATAAGAATTTAAATGTAATGAGACCATTTACAGAATGTACTGACATTATCCCAAGAGCAAGCACAACTTGCTCATAATAAAATTAATTCTTATTCTGTTCTGATCATGCATTGAGGAATTAAAGCAAAGAGCCATTAAAAGAGTGGATATATATTTCCTCTTATTTTTCACCAAAATAACCTAAAATAAAAATGATCCATGGGAGCTTTTATGATTGCAAATTAAATGCACAACCCAGCAGAGAAAGGAGAATTATATTCAACTTGATACTTGATCCACAGTTTAATTTTTTTTTTAAAGTACACATGCCTTGGCACGGACAGAATATAGAAAACGGGCTAGTATGAAATAGCCATGAAGCCAAGAATTAGTACCAGACAGACTTCTCTGTGAATTACACACTGACACAGTTTATCACAGAAGCCACAGCTTTATCTGCTTCCAGAGCAAGTCATAAAGAACAAAAGCACTAGTCTTTGCCAAATTAAATGGTGCATGTTTATTGCCCAATTAAAATCAGCATAATTTATAGTTACTGCATTGTTACTAATGAGATATAATAAGTTTTTCCAGTCACTCAGGGCTTCTTTTTCTACAGGTGTATTCCTAGGCACTTTATATTCATACCAGTTGTAAAGGGGATTTGTTTTTCCATTTTATTCTCTAAGTGAAAGCTGCTGATGTTAGGAGAAAGCTTTAGATTTTTGCAAGTTGACTTTGTACATGCCACATTTATGAATTCCATTTTTTTTTAGTTTTTTCTCTTAGGTTTCCCAGGGACATATTCAAAATGATGATAGTGTTGTCCACTCTTTTCTACTATACTTAAATAATTGGCTAGGATCACCAGCTGAAATACTGGATATCAGCAAGCATGGCATGTGCATCCTTGCTGTGTTCTGTCTTTAATGAGAATGTTCTAATGTTGCACCATTAATCCATTGTTTGCTGCATGTTTTTAGTAGATGACACTTTTACCAAAGATTTCCTTTCAATTTCTAATTTGCTAATAGTTTAAAAATCTGGTTGGTAGTACATTTCATTAAATGCCATTTGAGCATCTACTGATAAAATTGTATGGTTTTATCAATTACTGTCTTCACACAAGGAATAACAGAAAAACATTTTCTGCGGTTGAACAATGTGTTTTCCTTTTTGGAATAATCCCTATTAGGTCATAATGTGGCATTTAACAATTGTAATACTGGATTTGATTTTCTAATATTTATTTAGAATTTCTATATTCAGAATGACACTGACAATTTTTGTTCAGTGCTCTCCTCAGTGAGTTTTATTATCAAGATCATGACAAAACTTGCAGATGTGCAAAATATACTCTCATTATTTTTTTCTGCTCTGGAATTGTGTACAACAAGTTCACTATAAACCCACACCTTTCAATTAAATAATTCATGTAAAATGTTTATATTACCGTACTTTAAGTTTTTACTTATAATGGACACACAGTGTAACAGAGAATATTAAATTTTGGTCAATAGTATCTAACTGTAGTGCCAACTTCATAATCAGCATAGTTTTGGACTTAGAAAATGATTGTTTTTGCTTATGTTCTCAGGGGATGTTGAAATAAATGAATTCATGTCAATAAAATGCACTTAGGGAAAGTACATTGTTCAAAAAAAAAAAAAACTTGGAAGTAAATTGCAATATTGTTTTCCAAAATTTAGAACCAAGTCTTGCAGTTAGTGGCAATTCAGCTTCTAACAAATTATTTCAGACCACCAGGAAAATGTCCAGATTCTAACAGGCATAATTAAGAACTGTTTAATACTCTACCCCAGATATACCAGTGTATGCTATTGGCCTAAAACAACACACATACCTGGAGAAAGAAGACAAAGAACAGTGTGACATTTGCAGCACTGCCCACAATAGCCAAGATGTGAAAACAGTCACTGGCAGATGACTAAAGATGTATAAATTTGTGGCATATAAGTATAACAGAACATAACTGAGCCATAAAAATCAATAAATCTTGCCCTTTGCAACATTTATGGACCTAGAGGGGATTATGCTAAGTGAAGTAAGTCAGAAAAACACAAATATACCCTATGATTTTACTCATGTATGAAATACAAAGAACAGAAGCAAACAAAACAAAAACAAAGTCTTAGATTCTAACAGAACGGTGGTTATCAAAGGGGAGGAGGGTGAAGGGTGGGAGGAGCAGGTAGATTGGTCAACTGGATGGTGTGGGATGGTA